AAAGCGCCAATAGATGATCATGTACCAGTACATGATCACTCCATGTATTTGTATATATATATATATATATATTCACATTGCCTACACACTGTATACGTCTGCGTTTACTGCACAAGACGTTAGGCGACAGAATTGCCATCTAAAGTTCTAACATGTATCTACTAAACGAATACATCGATCAATAGTGTGTATTTTTTCTCGATCTCCCTTACTATCTTTCTCACTATAGCTCTCTCCCACCTCTCGCTCCATGGCACTGTGCGTGATGCGACGTTCTATTTTTTTCTCAATCGGTCTCAATCGCTCTCTCCCTTTTTTTATTATGTTTTGTTTATATCTATCAAGATCAAAGGTTAATTTCGAAGTGACGCAGTGCGGTCGTACAAATATCAAACGAGCTGTTTGCTTGATACGATAACAATGTAACATAGCAGGGTTTTACAAGGCAGTGTTAACTGCGTCGTTAAGATATTAGCTCTACCAAATTAAACGCTCAAAATCTATTGATAGGAAAGTAGGGCCTCTAATGATATACAAATTTATTTTTAGTGTTTCTAACTTTGTCAATATGGACACTATGCAGTTAGAGTTAGTAGTTCATACATTGTTTGTGTTTGTAGTTAGGTACTAATTAGGATAATATTTTTTAAATTCAAACGAATCCTTTAATAAACATTGTGTCTGAAAAACAAATTAAGTATAAACTTTTGGGAGAAACTTCTTTTAAACTAAAATTCAGTGTTATCGTTATATTTGATGAGAGATATTATTTAATTATTTAGGGGGGGGTATTTTAACGGACATTTCAATAAAAGCTTACATCTCGGAATATCCCTTGGCGTTAATACCTGCAGCTGAGTTTCATCATCGGACGTCAAGCCAGAATACAAAATACCATCCATATCACCTTGACGTCCGTCGTTCCACAACTAAGCGTTTCTTAAGCAAATTTCTACCACGCACCACCAATGTGACTTAGGGTCTTTCAAGAAAAGAGCGTACCAATTCTTAAAAGGTCGGCAGCGCGCCTTAGACCCTTCTGGTATTGCGAGTGTCCATAGGCGGCGGTATCAGTTAACATCCGGTCAATTATACGTGATCTAGATCAAGATATATAAATGATAAGTTATTGCAAAATTTTGGATAAGATAGCGCTGCGAAACTGCGAGAAGGGGAAAAAAAAAAAAAAAAAAAAAAAAAAAAAAAACCCCCCCCCCCAAAAGGGGGGGGGGGGGGGGGAAAAAAAAAAAAAAAAGAGAAAAAAAAAAAAAAAAAAAAAAATTACTTTTAAAAAAAAAAAAAAAAAAATTTTAAAAAAAAAAAAAAAAAAATTTTTTGGGGGGGTTTTTTAAAAATTTTCCCCCCCCCCCCTTTTTTTTTTTTTTTTTTGGGGGGGTTTCCCCCCCGGCCCCCCGGGGTCCTTAAACCCCCCCCCCCCATTTTTCCTTTTTTATGTGGTCTACGAACATCTATTTACTGAATCATTAATTATTCTATATTGCACGGAAATTGTTAATAATTGTCTTGTCTAATATATGAGTAACAGTTATCGAATAAAATGCGAAATATACTTACTGTATTCTCTAATACAAATAATAATCTGTAAGATGACGAATTTTTTTAGAAGATGTACAACACAGATCGTTATTTCTGAATAATTTTAAATTGTATTAGTTTTTACAACAAAGTCGCAAGTGAAATTAGAGAATTATCACTAAGTAAATTCAAAGCTCTCGTTGAACGTAAATAATCAATAAGGCTTTTTATAAATTTAACGAATATTTAAATGTTCCTAATCCTTGGGATTGATTTGCTCCAGTTCAAACAATTTGTATTTGTAGTATTGTATTGTAGTGCTTATTATGTAATATTCGCGAAGAATTTGAATGTGAGAGAATAAGTTTCATAATACAAGTTTGAAAGACAACTCTAAAAAGTAAATATACGAGATCAGACGTAGTAAAAAGTGGCCAGTTTCAAATATACCTCGTTAGATGTATGGTGGTTGGACTTGTTTGGAACCGGACTATGCCTATACTACTACTAGTCTGTCATGGGAATTTATTGGGGCATCTAATCGTATGCTATTTTTGTCCATATTCCATGGGAATAGATTTCATTTTCGAATGTCGTGTATAAGAATTATTTTTATGCATTAACCATTGCCTGCGTCTATTGTGAGTATGGCAATATCTTCTTGTCTTATTAATATTAGGTCCTTACATATGAAATTGGCGTTTTGTATGGGAGGAACAAAAAGTTGAATATTTTTAAATATAATATATTTAATTAATCAAAGTATGAACCATTGTTTTCTATGCACTTTTGCCATCTCATAGGTAGTTCATTGATCCCTTTACTAAAAAAATCAGTCGGTCGGGAATCAATAAAATCTGTGAAGGCGATTTGGACTGCCCCATCAGAGTTAAATTTTTTCCCTTGCAAGAAGTTGTATAAATTTCGAAAAAAAATGATAATCTGTTGGAGCAAGGTCCGGGGAGTACGGAGGATGTCTTAGACATTCCAATTGAAGCTCTTCTAATTTGGTAGCCGTCTGTTGTGCAGTGTGTGGTCTAGCGTTGTCGTGAAGTAGCAGTGGCGTGGAGCGATTGACCAGCCTAGGTTGTTTAGCCGCTAGCTTTTCCATCATGGTTTGCAATTGCTGACAATAGACATCAGCCGGAATAGTCTGGCCAGATTTGAGAAAACTGCAATGAACAATACCGGCACTAGTCCACCATACGCTTACAAGTAACTTTTTTGGGGTTAATTTTCGCTTGGGGCAGGATTTGGCTGGCTGGCCAGGATCCAACCATTGCGCTGAGCGCTTCCGATTATCGTAAAGAATCCATTTTTCATCACAGGTAATGATTCGGTTTAAAATACTTTCATTATTGTGCCTGTTCAGTAATGTAACGCAGCAGTCGACGCGCGTTTGCCGGTTTGCTTCAGTCAATTCGTGAGGTACCCATCTTTCAAGCTTTTTAATGTTCCCAATTTGCTTCAAGTGAATTAAAACTGTTTTATCACTAACACCGCAGCCTGCAGCTAACACCGCAGCCTGCAGCTAACTCGGACGTGGTTTGCGATGGATCCGCTTCCACAATAGCCTTCAATACTTCATTATCAACTTGGGTCTCAGGCCGTCCACGGGGCTTGTTCTGCAGGTCGAAATTTCCAGAACGAAAACGTTGGAACCAAAAACGAACTGTGTTTTCTTTTGTAACATGACCGCCATACACATCATTCATCATTTCCGCAGCACTAGTGCCACGGCGGAACTCGTACTCGTAAATAATGCGATACTTTAAGTTTTCCATTTTGTAAAATGAGTGACACAAACAGAAAAAAACAAATGAATGACGGTCATCGAAGCACAAATACATGAGTAAATAGCTGTACAAATTTGAATTTGGAATTCCTTACCAAAGAGGAGAACATCGTGATTAAAGTTGCCAGTACGAAAATCGCCAATTTCATATGTAAGGACCTAATATTAGAATTTTGTTTTAAAGTTATTTAAAAATTGCTTTAGACTGATTTAGTATTTATGTAGGCGTAGAATGTGATGGGGCATCCACACGCTGGCTGTTTGTCACAAACACCGCAAAAGCAAACGAAGTCCCAAACACCAACCACAATCACCCAACACAAACAGCCATCTACATGCTTGGCGAACGTTCATAACATTCCGAATCGGCAAACATGGCGGACGACGAGCTTGTTGCAGCTATTACTTTCGGGTTGACATATTTTTATTATAAATTAAAGCAAGAGAAAGAAAAAGGAAAAAAGAAGAAAGCAAAGACGATGGTGGATGATTAAAATACATAGAAAGCGTACAAGGCTTTAGACCTATTATTTGAGCTTTACTTTGCCGTGTTTTTTTAATTTTACTTAAAAGTTACTTAAAAATGTCAGAATCGTAGGTGCTCCAATCAGACATTTTTTACGCTTTGCGCGCCAACGAAAGTGTAGCAAGTAAATACGTCCGCCTCCCGCAAGCTCGCGCGCATACTGATCGCTGCCAAACGTGTGGATACGTAGCAAACTGTTTGCCAAACATCCTTTGATCTGGCAAGATAAACCGACACCGATGCCGAACACTGCCCAACACGAACACAAACAGGCAAACAACGACAAACACCCATCCACACGTCCGTGTTTGCTGTTTGCTGTTAGCTGTTTGCCATTGTTTGTCAAGCGTGTGGATGGGCTTTGATATTAACGTTTCGATCGTCGCAAACTTGGTATTTGTATGGAATAAACGCGTAAACCAAGACAATTCTTTAGTTCGTTCGCAATAACTTGACCTCTCTTCTCTTCTCTTCCCTTGAAGGTCCCAAAGTCATAACGTTTTGGAAATACCTAGAAAATCAACTAGTTTCATTATACACCACCATTTTATACGCGGCACGAACAAAAAACCAGTGGCCATACAACATTTTTATGTCTGGGCCTCAGAGTACAGTATCTGTTTCATGATCATTTGCCAATCCTTCTGTGCCTGACACACGCCGTCGACTTTTTAGGTCTAAAGCAAGCCGGTATCCTCACTGTGATATTTTCCTTCACTGTTCGAGCTAATGTTAAGCGCAAATAGACAGAAAGTCCATTGGTGCCCAGCCGGGAATCGAACCTACGACCATAGGGATGAAAGTCGCACGCTGAAGCCACTAGGCCTACATTGCATACGACAGTACCTTTAAGTTAAACATCAAGCATCCAAAAATCCATAAATAATTTTCACAGAACCGTGGCAGTATAAAATATTTTCGCCGGAATAATATAGTCGGTGCGTTGAAAATCGGTTGTTTATATGAGTGAACGAAAAATGAATATGCATTTTCCCGTTGATAATGACGCAGCAGGTCACAATGCGTGCAGCGAATGCGATGAAAATTGTTTGCGTTCGTACGCGCTAATGAATTTTAACGCTGGCACGATTTTATGAAAAATCTTCTGGATATTATATTTTGTTGCGTTCTCTTGAATTTAAAATGATGGAAGGCTTTTGGGTATGTTCAGTAATGTGAGATTGTCAGGTCTATAGCTTCTGGCACAGAACAGCCACCAATAAAACTGCGAGCTGCCTAATCCGCTTATGCAATCACATAAGTAACCGCCACCGGCATCGATAAATCTATTGCGTTCGCGACTTTAATTCGCGAAACAATTTTGTTAAATAAATTCTCATCTTGACTTCCGAGCGTTTCACTTCTCTTTCATCGAACACTCTAGACGTATACATATATCTGGTCTTTAACACATATTATTTTATTGAGTATTAAATAAAACTCTAGTCTTAATCTATAATAAATTTTATTTTCGTGTACCTTCTAGATACCAGATCTCGTCATCTCATTTGTCCCTACTTTCAGAAGTGTCATGGCCAAAGCTATCCTAAATTCTGACTGCATATCACACATTGAAATTACGTTTCCTTGAGTTATTATCATTTTCTTGAATTTATGTTAATAAGTTACCGGACAATCTGGACCTAGTGTAGAAATATAGAACATTATTAATAATTATTGTATCAAGTATCCCTTCGATAGTGTTCATCAACGTTCCTTATCTTATCTGTGATTGAATAATTGACAGGAGCAGTGGTGGAGTGAAGCAGGCGTTTGGGCGCCCGGGGGCGAACCGAGCCGCGCCTGCGATGGTGAGCGGTCTGCGCGCGTGCCTGCACCGCCCGCGCCTTGCCTCAGGCCCTGTTGCGGCGATAACACGTCAGTATACACCCGAGGTTCGTTCGATCGTGCTCTCTGGTCTATCGTACTGTCACTAAATACAGCCTTGCTTAGTACCTAGAACCTAGCTCATAAATGGAAACAAAATTAGGGCCCTACTGTCTATCACTAGCTAGACTTTTAGAATCAGTTTGATTGCTCTGTTTCAAGTAAAGTTTTCTGACTCTTTTCATCACAGCCTAAACACAATTTCATTGAAAGAGACGAAAGAGCACCATTAAAAAGAGTGCTACTAGATTTTAGATAGAAATAAATTCATAATTTATTTAAGTTACTATTAATATCAATATTTAAAATAATGGAAGGTCTTAAATTACATTTACTACCAAAATCAAGGACGTAGAACTCGCAAGAACTGGCAAGAAACTTTTAGCCACGCTTTAGTAACGTACCGTATTCAGTCTTGGCATGTTACTTCTGGACTGCATGGAGCTGCGCGCTGCATGGAGAAAGTTCGTAGAAACCTTAAGTAGAAAACACCAGAGCATTATGCTAAAGGATATGAATAGCTGGATTCCTACTAACGTAATAGGTAAACTCTTAGCGAATACACTCGATTTTGACTAGAACTTTGTCAGGATTTAGGCATATATTTAAACGTTTGCTGCGGATACAGTCCAATATAGATATTGTAGATGGCCCAGAATAATACGTCGTTTCCTCTTCATCAGCTAGGTTCTCTGTACTAGGGAAGAATCTGTCTGTTGGTAGTCACGGCTTGTTGCTAACCACCGGCTTGTGTTGACTTGAGATCATTGTCTTACTGCTTCAAATTATCATAATGTGTACTATACCTTATATTTAATAATCTAACACGATCATTTTACTAATTTTTTTAACCTTCATTATATTAATTATTTATGGCCATTTAGATTTAAAACATGTGTCCCAGGCTCCTGATATAGTGAAAATGTCTCAGGAGTCTGTGACTTGGGTTGCCACCCGTTCTTTATAATACGGTATCGTACGTTACTTCAGGTAATTGTACTCTATAGTATGAGAACAATTAAGTACGGGAAAATACTTTATTTAGCATGATGTGATTTCTTTAGCCGTAAATATTTTTTCGTTAAACGAAATTTTTCGATTTGCGCTGAATCGATGTTTAAATATGGATTGTAAACATGCTGTGCATTTGTTTAATCCAGATACTAATTTAATACAAACTGTAAAAAGAATTAAAACTTCTATATTTAAATGTAATAATAAAGAAAAATAAATTGTACGTTAGTTTAATATTATGTACTTTTTGTTTCTTGTGTAACGTAACGTCTTAAATTGCAAAAAAAAGGTGGCAACCATACCTGTGACTCAGGTTATATATTGTGTAGCAATTGAATTATAATGTATATATGCATGCAAGAACAGGGACTCATTTAACCTTGTTGCACAAATTTAAACTAATTTTAAGTGTTTCTTATATAAAAAAAAAACAGCGCTATGTTATGTAGCCATGCCCGGCTTCGTGTGCTTGTATAGTTATATATCTCGACTAGAATTCAATTAAATAAATACAATAATATAAAGGACGAGGGTAGATAATACGCGTTATCGCAAATGCTCGATAGCGGTCAACTGGTATCCTTTATGATAAAGTCCCGTATACAATAAGGTTATAAGTCATGAATATATATAACCAAATATTTTGTAAATATAAAATCTTAGATATAATATATTTAAAAGTCTTTATATATATTTGTATTGTAATCGATTTAGTTAGCACAAATCCGCTAGAGAAATACGTACACCTTAATGTTCGCTCAATAACCTTGTTTAGAAAGTTGGTTGTTGTTAGGCAATATAAAATAATTGTGTCTAATTAAATAACACCCTTTAGGAGTTATTATATATGTAAAGAAAATATATTTATTAGGAATATTCAAAATTCTAATTTAAAATTTGCATGTAAACCCAATTTCATGGGCGCATTTGTTAATTATTTTAAATCAAATTTCATAAAAGTGATTTGGTAAGTTAATTTTTATACCTGCTGTATGAAACTTAGCAAATTACTTCGGAATATAATTAGTGACCATTTAAAGCGTTCTCACCGTTACTTGATGCTTTCTTATTATTATTTTACGGAATTCGGGGTGCGGTCCCCACGACTACCTGAGTCCCCCACTATTGCAACCCCGGCTCGAGGAGCGTCACTACAACCCTTAAACGCTACGATGCGCTTGCGCCGGTAACGTGCGAATTTTAATTTTAGTGTAGTGTATAGTGTATATTAATGTATAGTGAAATGGATCTATCGGTGCCGAGGATAAAATTTGAAGCACACGACGACTATGATGAAGTCTTTGATTTTGATGCAATGTAAGTTTTTACTAGTTTCACTTGATAGCTACATTGGTATACCACAAGGGAAGAGATTTCTATAGTTCGGAATGTTTGTTTTTTGCGAAGCTTTTGGAACAGTCTGATATATGATTTAATCATTCCAACGGGGCTAGCATTAAAATTGTCTAAATATTTTAGATTTATAGTATTGGTTTGTTATTCTTAGTTTATGTTAAAAGTATATTGTGCCTAATTCAATTAAGATAATTAAAACTACTATGTTTAGTACATGCATAGTAGTATCGTTTGTAAATGATAATTTAAGAAAAATGACAATTTTATATAAAAGTTATTGGAATTTGAACATATTAAAGATTTTGTTAGTCAAATTCGTGTATGTTAGCATAGTTTGTATTTAAAGAATTGTTAATACAGTAAACCTAAAACACACACATACTAATACATAGTTATTTTTGTGTATTAAGAATTATCCAACCAAAATTCATACTCCTAATTACATAGATGCTTTTTAAGGGGTTATTAGGATATTTTGTATTTAAAGAATTGTTAATACGGTTAGTAACCCTAAAATGCACACAGAATACTTATGGGTTGCAATATCCTCCGAACAATGATTATTATTATTTTTTTTCCAACACACAAATTTATAGTATTTACAATATTCTAACCTAATAAATAAAATAATAAAACAAATTTAAAAACTTTGGTCCCTTTATCAAAGGTACACCTTTTAACGCTGTCAGCATTTCCTCGCTGTATTTCTAATTATTTTCCCTAAAATAGCCAAAGCTAAATGCTAAATACTAGCATGTGAAAGTGGTAGATAAGAGAGATTTCATTTATTATGTAGAATCCCTAACGAAGACCAAAATTGCATAAATAAATAACGTCTTACATATGAAATATCTAGACGAAATTAGCTTCGAGCTACTCGTAATTCGTTAGTGAAAAGCTAAAACGTGAAAGTTCACAACACTGAGATTGGATAGGGAATTGGGATCAAGTGATCTCGCCTTCATCTGATGAGTTGAAAAACTTTGATGAGCTCCCGTTTTGTTTGCGTAGAGGCCGTAATAGGAATCGTATTTCGTCTAATTATTTTGTACTAAATTCAGCGTATCAGTTGCGCAGTTTGCCTGGTAATTGGTAGTCTATTTACATTGATATGATATTAGTATAAGAAATAAAGTGTAGCCTAGTGGCTTCAGCGTGCGACTCTCATCCCTGAGGTCGTAGGTTCGATCCCCGGCTGTGCACCAATGGACTATCTTTCTATGTGCGCATTTAACATTCGCTCGAACGGTGAAGGAAAACATCGTGAGGAAACCGGCTTGTTAGACCCAAAAAGTCGACGGCGTGTGTCAGGCACTGGAGGCTGATCACATACTTGCCTATTAGATTTAAAAATGATCATGAAACAGATTCAGAAGTCTGAGGCCCAGGCCTAAAGTGGTTGATTTTTATACAAAATTATATCTTTTCACTTTTGAGTTTACGTCCTATATTTTTTGAGTTTGGATTCACGAAGAAACGCTTGAAGTAATATTAGATTAGTTCTGGCCAATCCGTATAAAGTATTAAATAGATTAGAAAAAAGTTTGACGTTTCAAAAGGAATTCTATTCATCCTAAACCTAAGTATTATTGAGTAATCAGCTTATTAGGTATTATTTCCAAACTTAAACCATTTTCTGAATTTATGTGGAATTGTTATTAATATCATAAAGACTACCTGGCTAAGGATTTAAAACTCACTTTAAGTAATTAAGTAATTGATAGCTTTATAGCTTAAGTAATAAACTAATGGAAAGGATTATAATTTATTATAAAGTAACAAATTCTTAATGACTTCGGGAAATTATTGTTAGAGTTAGCGGAATTCTTAGCGCCTACCTAAACCATTGTTTGCAGTATACTTATTTATATAACTGTCATGTATATGTCGCAGCCAACTAGCTTAATTAGCCGTTCAATTAACAGCCTAGCCTTTTAACTAATCGGCCCCGTTTAACTAACGGCCTGAAAGATATTCAGCCGTAGCGTTTGTTACAACATTTAATTAACTGGCTGGCTAATGCTAAGGCCAGTCGTACGATAGAGTCATTATTTGGCAGAAATAAGAAAGATAAACATATGACATATTTCTTTTAAAATTAAAATGCTTAAGTTAAATTTACATTATTAGTCACTACACTCTTCCATTGTACTTGTTGTTTTTCATGAAAATTTGTAAAACACATCAAAGTTGTGGTTCGCCCACGCCATATTGAAAGTTTGAAGTGCGTTGAAAGTGGAATTAAATTTAAATTAACAATCAACAGGCTAGGCAAGTAATGAAACGTCATCGATCCAAGTCATTTGCCTAGCTGTTTGATCATCTGGCTGAACAACTTTCAGACCGCTAATTAAACGGCGCCGTTTAGTTAAACAGCTAGGCTGTTAATTGAACGGCTAATTAAGCTAGTTGGCTGCGACATATATAACAGTTAATATTAACTTACGTTGTATAGTGCAACACTAGTATTGAATTTTTTATTTATTAATAAAACAAAAAGGTTCAAATAATAACAAAAGGAAAAAATCAACAAAAATTGTTTAATAAATTTAACTAAGTAATATCTAATTCGACTGTGTTGTGTGATGGTGTGAAAGTGATTGTGTGTATGTGGGGTTTGCTCATGATGCTTAGTGATTTAGCGCTATTGATATTCTTAATACACTTTTTAAGTATATACCGCGATAGCTTAAACAAATCAAGGCTTAAATATTGGTCGTTGTATTTCCGAATGTCATACAATGCCAAGCGAATGTTGCAGTAATACGAGAAGGTGAAACTGAAATCTCCTTGATACAGTCATGCTTCAAAAAGCGCAGCGAAACAAGTTAATGTTTCAATGGTAATAATTAAAACATTAACTACGCAATTGCAAGTTTTTTGAGGTAGTTTAGATGTTCATAGCGAATATTTGTATTGAGGTAATTTTATAGGGAACTATGAGGGAAAGAGCTTGACAGCTGGAGATGAAATTTGTTTGTGTATGGTCATATTCATGACTTAAGTAGGAAGAACGGAAAGTCAAAGTATAGTAAATAAATGTAAATAAATAGGTAAGTTATCAGTAATAGGCAATATGTTAAGGTTACATATATATACAATAGTTAGGAAATTAAAACAACTCAAAATTATTAAGCTTTTTAATAATACGTATTCAATCATAGTACATAAATATATTATCCGGTAAGCATCTATTCTGAATTGTTGTCGTTACACCTTCTTGGAACACTACAATAGAATTTTGAGAAAAAAAACATGTGTACACGCGTTAGAAGTTACAATTCTTTGGCGTAACAAGATAAAAATCTTTTTAAAATTTTTATCTTTAAACGACAAGTAACTAACAATAGAAAAAATATATTTAATACATTGAATTCATTTTATGACGAAAATGTATATAGAACATAATTTTGAAATTTACACGATATATTTAATCGCAAGCCAAGTAATCCATTTCAGAAAAAAAAATGATAAAATTACATTAATTTAATGTTTTACATAACTAATTGTTATTACGGGCCGACGCCTGCCCCCCCCCCCACCACCCCCCCCCCCCCCCCCCCCCCCCCCCCCCCCCCCCCCCCCCCCCCCCCCCCCCCCCCCCCCCCCCCCCCCCCCCCCCCCCCCCCCCCCCCCCCCCCCCCCCCCCCCCCCCCCCACCCCCACGCGCCTTTGTTGAATGTTTGGATTTTTTTTCTATCGAGCGAAGTTATTTAAATCGTGTATCGGTCTTGTAAAATGGATACATAAACTACTCAACTCCACCATATATTTTTTCCATTCGCCCTACTTCAAGAAACGATGACGAAAAATGGAAAGAAACAATGTACTTTTTTGGAGTTTGGCGATAGGATAGGTCCTTAAGTAATAATTTGCATTGTTTCCAGTGTGGGAGATAGCAGAAGCCGGCGGGCGGGCGAGGCGGTGGCGGCGACAACGCGCCACAAAAGCGGCACGACGACGGCGCACAGCAAGCAGCTCGCGGCGGGCGGGGCCAACCACCCGGCCCAGCCGCAAGGTAACAAACGTACGGTCTACCAATTGTTGTTATATCCTATAAACTTGATTATACAACCTGTTAAAGGCGTTATCACACCACAGATAAATATAGGGAATAGAACATTACATACTGAACTGGAAAATCATTTAGTGTCGTATATTATGGATGGAAATCATTTATGAACTGTATATTTCTCTAGTCATTTTAGTTTGACAGTTTTGGAAATATAGTCTAGTCGACAAGTTGAAAATGGTACAAAATAGAGATACTGCTCTTAAAATTATGTGCGATAGGTCATTGGATCCGGAATGACGTCTAGAAAAATGTGCCAAAAACTAAAAAATCCAAGTAATGTTGTTAAAGTAAAAAAAATGTTATAAACAAAGTATAAATATTTTTTTAACTTTTATGGCACGATCTTGTTAAGAATGTATGTAAGAAAGGCTCTACGAAGCGAAATTTTTTTACGACCATTATTTAAACATTTTTTTTCACTTACTGAGAAAATTTCGTTAGTAATTGTTTAACTTGTTGAAAAATTAACTTTAAGTAAAATTTCCAACGGGAATAAATTAATTATAGTGTTCAGAACACACCATAATTTTTTCAAATTTAAAAAAAAATATTCAATACCTTAAATAAATTAATTAATGTGCCGTACTCGCTTTTGACGCCACGCGCGCATCCTAAAAATGTCACGCGCAGTCCTATTTTCAGCGTTAAATTAAAATTATAAATAATGGAGATAGAGTTCCGGGAGTTAGGAGTTTTTTATTGGAAATTTCCTCCTCTTTCAGAATCTTTTTTTTTGAAATTTCTTAAATATTAATAGTTTATTAAATATTGGCAAAAAACTTCATCTTTAATTGTTTATAACTTTTGCAATTTTTTATGTGCTAATACACGCTTTTGGCACATTTTTCTAGACGTCGTTCCGGATCCAATGAGCTATCGCACATAATTTTAAGAGCAGTATCTCTATTTTGTACCATTTTTAACTTGTCGACTAGACTAATAACCATTATAATGTTTGTGAATCTTAAGATTAATATAGAGAAAAGTGCAGAGGTAGGATAAGAAATGAATTTGTATATATGTTCAATGTACATAGATAATAACAATACGTTCGAACGGTGAAGGAAACTTCTTCTTTCGTAACCTAACCTAACCTAGACCCAAAAAGTCGACGGTGTGTGTTAGGCACAGGAGGCTGATCCTATTGCCTATTAGATTGACAAATTATCATGAAACAGATACAGAAATCTGAGGCCCGAACCTCAAAATATTCAATAAATATAAGAGATTTCAGTTAAACAAAACGTTTGCATTTTGTTAAATTTACTCAGTATAAGTACTTTAACTGGTTGTATATCTACATTTTAAGTAATAAATTTAGCTTAATTAACTGTTGCGTGATGATGGAATTGATAAGGAAAACTACTTTGCTACTTAATATCTGATTATCTATAAATATTTCTACATAAATTTAAATGTAAGTAGAACGCTTATGCAAACGATTTTGTTTATTGTCAGCGGTTTTTTTTCCATCATCACGACACAATTTCTGCGTTGCATGACGTTCGATAAATTTCCAGATTTTATTTCAGTCGCCAAAACAACTATTTTTGTTTTTGAATGATCACAGTGTGTCCCAAAAATAATGGATTTGTATAAATATGTATATTACACGTCGGAAATATCTGCGAACCTCGCTGGAATGCGCTTCCCCGCACCCCGCCCCGTTTTCGCCTATCCAGTACCGTTGCCAACGCAATCGCCGACGCACGTGTATTATTCTTGCTTTCGTAATCGCATTTTAGTGTTTATTGTTTCTCTGTTTGGTGAAATATTACATAAACTACCTATTTAGTGCTGTATGTAAGATGGGTAGGACTATAATATATCAATAAAAATAAGTACACAAATAAAATATTTTTTATTTTTACATCTTCAATTTTTTTGCTATCTCTCCAGTTTGTATGACTACTAAGCAGGTTGCAGATATTGGCTTGTACTTTCATAATTTATTTTCTAGCTTTTTACTTAACTATTCCGCCTTCCGAAACTCTTAATTTATTTTTGTATGTATTTAATTAAATCAACCCATTATTATCATCAAAATTTAAACGCTTGTGTAGATATGTGTATCGTCAGATACTGTTAGCTAATTGGTATGATAATTTGCACTTTTCTGTTCGAAAATATCAACCTTTAAGTTTGTCTTTGATCGTCTGATTTGGGACACCCTGTGTACTTTATACGCAGTAAGGTATGACGTAATGCTGCGCCTACGCATGACAAGTGTTTTATAAAACTTCAACCATGCTACAAGAAGGTAACAACTGTCCTCAACGGTTGACGTAAATCCAATATGTAATCTATTTGAATTGTTTATACTTTCATGGCTTTGCTCGTCATTTTTTAGATTATAATTAATGTATTACACAGACTATAGAATCTGGCCATGTAGCTAGGCATCATGTTAGGGAAATAGGAAGTAATATTATCTTTGGTGTACGGTTTGGAAATTCAAATAAATCTAACCCTAATCAAGCGATTTTAAACAGCATTCGAACGTGGAGTTAGATAAATATTGCATATAAAATAAATCAGTGGCGCAACAACCTCTTCAGGTCTGGGCCTCAGATTTCTGTATCTGTTTCATGATCATTTGTCAATCTAATAGTCAAGTAGGTGATCAACCTCCTGTGTCGCAACACGCCATCGACAAGCCGGTTTTCTCATGATGTTTAGCTTCACCGTTTGTGCGAATGTTAAATGAGCACATAGAAAAAAGACCATTGGTGCTCAGCCGAGGATCGAACCTACGACCTTAAGGATGAGAGTCGCACGCTGAAGCCACTAGGCCTACACTGCACTGTAGGCAAATAATGCGTTTATATCCGATAAATTACATAGTATCCATTTTAATTGTGTTGTTAAAAGAAAATCTAAAAGTTGGTAGGCGTTTGTGATATTCGAAATCAGGTAGGTCATGGAATGACTTCAAGAAACCTTTTAAACATTTGTTTTACCACACTTAAATGCTAAAGGTATTTTGTATTCACAGTCGAGGCTTTGCGATCAGACCGTTTGTCAAAAACATATTAAACTTACCCTAAATAAAACTACAGTTAAAAAATATATATATATATATGTATTTAATTTTATTATCTACGTTTGAGTTTCCTTAATAGTTTACCGGATACAATATAATTAATTCCAAGAATAATTCCAAGGAGTGATTAACTAATTACTGTTTAATCATCGTCTAATTGGCATTTTGTTTGAGACGTTATTAGAGATACAAAGCGATGTTAAGACTAAACTTTATATCAAGGGAAAACACATAAATTATTCTATTTTAGTATGAAAACATTGCTAGTAAGTACGTTAAGCGTCATCTAGTTGAAAAATGTTAGTAAACATGTCCGGTTAGGATTTAAAAAGACAAAGTCTAAACTATGAATGTTTTTTCTTATTACACTGATAATAAAAAGTTAGTAATAATAATAATAATTTATTGTTTATTGCAAGAATATGGTACAAAAATGTTAAGGTGGTACAATCGTAAATCGTTTGCATATTCTGCCACACAATGGCGCGCAAATTTGTCTTAAGGAATTTTACATTATTAGTCAAAGTCAATTCTTATATTATCTGTATCGTAAATATCATACTTAATTAAATTTATATCAATTACAGTGTCTCACGCAAATAATCATTTATTGAATAGTACATTTTTCTAAAAGTAATAGGTACACTAAGTCGCTTTTAAACTTTAATTACATACAAAAGGTGTTACATACATTTGTAAAATACAAAGAATTAAGAAGAAGAAATTGTTTGGCGTTTGAGTGTTTTAAATGTACCTTTGCAGGATCCGGCTGCGGTGGCGATGGCGACTACCAGCTGGTGCAGCATGAGGTGCTCTACTCCTCGTCCAATAGGTATGAATGTATTCCATAGAAGATTGTGTTTAATTTAGGTCCTTTTAAAAGAGATTCAAGCCAAAGGCAACTTTTATAGAAAAGTCTTACTAATTGGCATTAAGTCTTTAACTGGGCATTTATTTATACAATTTATTGGCTCGTTAAACGTTATTTAGTACCGTGTTTGAGTGGTTTATTTTAATTCAACGATTGCGCGGTTTAATTTAAATAAACGAATATTGAGTAATATCCGAGTATATTTGTGCAAATTTCTGCATTTTTAAACTTTGTAGCTGTCCTGTTGTTACTTAAAAGCGATAGAATTTGTTTTCGATTAGGTCCCAGAGGTCCATATACTTGTCTTAATCAAACACACGCAGAAATGTGTCTGCTCCATTCACTACTGGGGACTTCATATATTTATAAAAGCTTATACTTCTTAATACATATATTAATGCGTTACAATCTCGGGTTGTTGCAAGTTACTATAGCAAACACTTCGGAAATATCAACAGAGGTTCTTGTTCTAAGATAAAATCACGTGACAGTTGTTGAATATAGCCTATTAAACATATACTTGTTTGTCGTCTAGGTACGAGGTGCTGGAGTTCCTCGGCCGCGGTACATTTGGGCAAGTGGTGAAGTGCTGGAAGAAGGGCACTAACGAGATAGTCGCCATCAAGATCCTGAAGAACCATCCCAGCTATGCCAGACAGGGACAGATTGAGGTGAGTCCATACATCGTTGACACTTACATTTTAGGTATATTTTTTTAAATACAGTAAGATTTTTGTATTAAGTTGTAACTGTCACATGAAAAGTTTATTATTAAAACGTATACAATAGAAAGAAAGAAACAGATATTTGTACCTATACCCTTTGTACCATTGTGATATTTGATAGAGCCTTTCGTGAGGCTTATGTTGGAACATTTAATATTTTTCTGTTAAGGGAGAGTTCAAGTATTACGTCACGCAATTTTTGGAGAATATTGACCCCCCCATGTAACGCGCCGTAACGGTTTTCTGTACCCAATAGTAAAACGTTTCGTGACCACCCAGTGACTCTTTATACCTAAAAGTTACCATTATGTGGTGTGAAGTACTGGAAAGTCGAAAATAATATGTACTATCAATAACGCGTAATTCAATCCCCGTCCTGCATCGTAACGTTTTACAAAAGGACCCCTCCCAAAATTCGTGACGTAATACTTGAACGCTCCCTAAGGGACTGTTTCTATATTGCATTTTTTTTAAATAAAATAAGAAACAAAACAGTGTTATATAAATTAATACATAAAAATACATAGGTGAAATTGTAGTTCATTTCAAAATAACTGTAGTTATAATTTAGGACTTCTATTTGTGGGGTAAAGCTATTATTACAATTACCTAACCTTGGGAACTCTTGAACGCGATCGATTGATTGAGTAAAGAAATGGTACTTTATAATAGGAATGTGTATTGGATATGTTTAACGAATCTCTAGAGCTTTAAATCCCCGTGAAATTATTAAAAATCGTAAATAAAACGTTGTTAGTAACAAATTGTAGGTCACTTTTTCAAAATAGCAACCGTAGCAACTCCCCAGCAAAAGGATAAATACGAGTTAAAAATATATTGATTTTATTGAGCAAGGGATGTGACGAAAAATATTATACAGCCTATACAGTGCTTTAAGTGAAAATCTTTAGTAATTTTACAGAACATTAACCACAAACGAAAATTATTTAGCGAACAAAACAATTTTTCGTGTCGACTCTTGCATATCAGAATAGTTAGGGTACAATAACATTAGGGTTGGTTAGAACCAACAGGTTAAAATTCAAAATGAATAATTGTGTAAGATAATTCATTTGCAAACCAGTGTACTAATGAAATATTAAATTAATTGATATCATACTTTTTATACGTTTTCATTAGTGGTAAGTGAAAAAATAGAACACAAGAACAGAGTGTCTTCTCCTAGAGACTGTTTTTAGTGTTATTGGACACTTTCTTATGTTAAATATCCTTTTTAGTAATGTTACTTAAATAAATTATTGGTCTTAAGTTAGATCGTAATGTCTCAGTAAAGACACATGTATTAAAAATACTTTATAAACAATCATATCGCTAACGAAGAAGGCTGATTACCTACTTGTCTAAAAAATAATCTAAACCAGTAGAAAAGTCTGCCTCGGTGAGATAGGTACATAGAAAGCACGTGATAAATTAAACAAGATTAAAAGCTAAAAGTTAATGTAGTGTTTCCAAGATTTTCCATTTATCGCACTGGGCGCTGGCCAAGACAAATCCAAGATGTCGCAAAGAATAAAAAATAGTTTAGAAAGGCGATCTCTCAACGTCTGTTTCTTTATTCAATAGCAGTATTTCTTTTGCGCATTTATCTAGTGAAAGGCTATCGTTTTGGCTGTTTTTTTTAAATTATTGCCATTCCATCCATGCGTACTCTACGTAAAGATTAGACAGTGATGGCGATTTTTTGACTAGTACAATAAAATTAGTACGTAAATAATAAATTTTCTACTAATATTACTACAACTATGACGATTTGTAGATGTTCTCAACCATCAAACTTTTTTTTAATAGACAGAACATAGGAAAGAATTACCAACCAAAATTGAACTATGCTGTATACTTTTTGAGAAAAGTTAACTTCCTGACTGCATACAATTTAATGACTGGCTAATTAGTATGTTTTAATGTAATTAATGACGCGTATTTGTTATGATTTTTTTATATAATAAAGCCGCTACGGCGTTTCGCATCACGCTTTACTACGCCTATTTGTTAAATACAAACAATTATTATAGTTAGTATGATAAATAGGTCCATAAGTTTAAATAAAAGCAATATTGGATTGTAAATAGATGATGTCGCTTATTATTGAATTGATGTTTCATTCTTGGCAAAGTCCGTATCGCAATAATGTATCAATAGATTTAAGGTAGGTCAGGTATTATAAGTGTCCCAAGGTCCAATGCCTAGATAGTATGACGTAAAATTTTGCATCTTTCTAATTATTTTATACCCCACCCCCTCCTCTTGTAAAACCTTTACAGCAAAAGTAAGCAAAGCTGTCAAAAATAATAGTACATTAACGTATTAATTTTTTATATATAATCTCGATTTATAATCCTCGAAAATGCATTTCGTTTTCAAGCATAGACAATTCGTGGGTAAATATGTGTAAGGCGCGTCTAAAGCCATGTTTTAATTATAGCTGCAACATGTGCCGGCAACATTGCAAACAATAGCATCACACTAGCAATATGCAGTAATCCGGCCATATAGCCAAAATGTTTTTATAGCCACATAGCATTCCAAGGTGCCGACGATCCTAGGCTATCGAATTCAACTGAATATTACGCCAGTTCTCTTTTTTTCATACTCTTTTTATGGCATAGTGTATCTTTTCTGCACATGACGTTGATGAGTGAAGTGTGCTGTTGCTATTCTTGTTTTGCGAATATTGAGTTAATTATACGTAAAAATGATACTTTTGACATTCTAGTTCTTGAATAATTTATTATCAAGACTTATTTCTAGACTCAAATTTCTAATTTCACGCCTATTTAATAAGGTCGAATCCACAATCTCTTCTTTTTCTGTTTCTTTTTTAAAACAATATAAGCTGTGACAAGTGTGATTTGTAGATTGTTGGGTTTGTGTAGGTTTAGGAGTCTGATATGGGCCATACTATTGAACACATTGCCAGCCATAGATTGTTCGGCAATGCATTAAAATATTTTTGTAATGGGGACAATTAGTGGCAACAGTGCAGCCATCAATTGAGCAAAAAGGTTTAGAGGCATAAAAAGTAAATAATTACTGTTGATACGTCATCACTGAATAAGATAATCAAAGACCCCTTCACCCCTATAGTGCTTACGTAATACATAAACGGCCCCATATTACTTTGTTTCATTTAATTGTACATTTTTATTCTTTAGCTAAAGTGATCTGTCGTAGTTCGTAGATGCTTGAAACTTAGACATGACGATTTGCTCTCAATGTTTTTTTTAACTATACGAATTTGTTTGAAATCCCAATCGCCATTAAAACCAAGGAGCCCTTTTCGTATATTATGACATCTCAAACTTAAAAAAATATTTTTAATTCCAGTTGAAATATGTCGGTCCAATTTATAAATTACTAACAACGTAAATATCTCTAAAATTTGGGACAGGCTAGTGTGCGTACTATATCTAGCGGTTCTGGCAACGATCCAGTTATCAAAATGTTTGTGTTTACCGACTAGAGTGCTACAACGCGAACGATAATTGGCAGAATAAAGAGATAAAGAGGGTATTTACGGGCGAAAGTTGCGTAAAAATTATATGCACAGTTCGAAAGTGGGTTCGAAGGTATTGAAGTTAAGTTTGTTTTCGATCGATTCTATAGGAGAACTAGAATATTATTGACTGCTCTCTGCTGGGTATGAATTATTTGAAAGGTTATATCGTCTAAGTAAAACTAATATTAGGTTGAGTAATTAAAAATTTGGTTGAAATTGATGCAGAGATGTTTTTGCCCTACGCCCAATAACTCACATCAATAAAAAAAAATCAATGGTGCTACAACCATTTTAGTTCTGGCCTCCGATTTTTGTATCTGTTTCATGATCATTTGTTAATCTAAAAGGCAAGTAGGTGATCAGCCTTCTTTGTCTGACGCACGCCCTCGACTTTTTGGGTCTAAGGCAAGCCGGTTTCCTCACGATATTTTCCACCGTTCTCCATCCTTCACCGTTCGAGCGTATGTTAAATGCGCACATATAAAGAAAGTCCATTGCTGCACAGCAGGGGCTCGACCCTACGACCTCAGGGATGAGAGTCGCACGCTGAAGCCACTAGGCAAACACTGCTCACATCAAATAATGCATATTTTAAATATTACTTAAAATTAGAATCACTATGCACTAATAGATTTTTTCTCCTTAGTGCGCATTTCACGCTCGCTCGCACGGTGAAGGAAAACATCTTGAGGAAGCCGGCATGCCTTAGACTTTGTCAGGCATAGAAGGCTCTCACTTACCGGCCTTTTACTATGACGAAATAAATACAGAAATCTGAGGCCTATACTACTAATTTGTGTGCAATTAATAAAGTTGAACATTTTTTTACTCATACGTATGATTGTTTAACTATGCAGCAGGCTTGTACGTCGTCTATATCAAACAAACAAACAAACAAACATCATTTATTCATGTAGGTAACACAATGTACACTTATGAACGTCAAAAAAAATACATTAAATGCTTCTAATTTTACATTTACTACCAGTTCTCAAATCATGGGCGTAGAACGGAAGAGAAGAACTGGCAATAAACTCTCCGCCACTCTTTTTTTAATCGCCAAGTTTTTGTTTTACACAACGTATCTAAGGAGCTGCAACCATTACACCATGTTCCACATGACATCTTAAGTAATAAATAATAATAAAATAAATTAAAAACAAATATTTGTCCTCTATCAGCAGGAGGCATGGTGAAATAGGAGCACGCACTTCATTCTCGTGGGAACAACACGCAAATATATAGTCGAAACAACTAACAACAACATACACGAATTCAAATACGACCAGTCACCAGTCACCATGGTATCTTAAATGTGTTCTGTGCTGGTTGAGATAAATCTATAGACATTAGTTGACAAACCTCGTTAATCAAGAGCAGTGTTTTATGCAAATCATGTTACGAATAAACAAGCACACTATCCCTGCTCCAATTTTTCTTGGCATAATTCTTTATTAAAGTATGAAACTATTTCAGAAGTTTGGACTTTGAATCATAATATTCTTGTTTTCACGTTGAAGTTTGAAGTTCGAGCGAATTTAAAAAACAAAAACTTTGTAGACTCCTTTCTTTGTTGCGCTCGGGAAATGGAAAATTGATTACTTATATGTGTATAACTCAATTTATTTGAAAGAAAATCAAAGAAATACACTACGATATATGATCCTCGAATACTTTTGATTTACAAAACAGAATTTGTTAGTTTCGAAATGTTTACTGAAATTAAAATGAAATCATTTATCTATATAGGTTTAATTTACTGTCAGTTCACAAATCAAGAAAGCCGAATTGATGATTATTGGGGGGGGGGGGGGGGGGGGCGGGCGAGGACCAGTATTGCTAAAAATTTTAATAAACGCTAGGTTTAGACCGCTACTCTTGATTGGGAGAGGGAAAGAACTGGCCGGTCAAGCACCAGCAGTAAAATCAAAGCGCAGATTTTAAGTAATTTGTCCGAAAACAGAAGTTGATGGCTTTGCAGATGGGTGTAGTAGGAAAACAAAAAAAGAATTTAAATAAGATCTTCTCTACGAGCATACAAAAAAAAACTTACTTAAGCTCGTCTAAAAAATAAAATAAACACATTTTTTTGTCGGGGCGCGAAAAAACCCCCCCCCGGGAAACCCTTTTACGGATCGAAAAAAATTTCGATATTGAAGAGAACTAACGCAGCGAAGTTCTGGAGTATAATTACTCCAAAGGAGCAACAGGACATCATCAACATAGTAATGCGGGGGGGAGACAGCTATAATAAAAAAGAATAATGATGCCTTGTCACAAGACCTGTCCAGCACCCTATTTGCGGGACATCACTCCGTGTACCAGCAGTACTCTGACTGATAAAGCAAGACCACTTACGCTTGGTTGGGGCCCGAAATGTGGGTTAAAAAAAACGAGTAGATTGGGCCCCGCGGGTCCGGCCCTCTATCCTTTGGACTATAATAGTTGTTTTAAGGTATTTTTAATTGAGGAAGTCTGTAAACACCCCAGAAAAATTTGGAGAGTTGCAGCTTTAAAAAACTCAGTCACTAAATAAGAATGGTGCGTTTTGGGGGGGAAGGGGGGGGGGGGGGGGGGAGGGGGGGGGTTAAAAAAAAAAGGGGGGTTTTTTCGAAAAAGTTTTAGGTTATTTCTATTCCTTAATTAATGTTATTGGCAACTCTAAAACAGAACAGATACTGTTGTTTTTAAGATTATTTCCGCTCAGACTTTGGGACCGACTACTATATGTTGGTTCAGTTTCGGTGAAAAAAAATATTAATTCCCCCCCCCCCCCCCCCTTAATTTTTTTTTTTTTTTTTTTGTTTTTTGAAAAAAAATAACTATATAAAAAAAAAAAAAAAAAAAAAAAAAAAAAAAAAAAGGAAGGGGGGGAAAAAAAAAATAAAAAAAGAGAGGGACAAAAACAAAAAAACAGCTAGAAAAAAGAAAGAAAAAAAAAAGAGAAGGAAAAGAAAAAAATATTTTTAATGTATTTTTTTTTTGTGGTTGTGGAGTGGTGAAAAAAAGGGGTGTTTTTTTTTGAGGATTTAAAACGGAAACACATATTGTGAGGCGGCTCGCGGAACCCAATGTTGGTTATTTCGTTTAAGATGTTCAAAATTGTGACATATTGTAACAAAGAATTGTAACAAATAATTGTAATAAAATAAATTAATAAAAATCTATCGACTCAACTGCTACGTATTATGACAAGCACGCTCTTACATTACCGTGGTAACAAACAAACGCATAAAATATTCATGTGTTTTTTTTTTCAAAATTCCAGGTTTCAATCCTCTCCCGGCTGTCCCAAGAATCGGCGGACGAGTTCAACTTCGTCCGCGCCTACGAGTGCTTCCAGCACCGATCTCACACCTGTCTGGTGTTCGAGATGCTGGAGCAGAACCTTTACGACTTCCTCAAACAGAACAAGTTCTCACCTCTACCCTTGAAGTACATTAGACCGATATTGCAGCAGGTGCTCACTGCCCTGCTCAAGCTCAAGGTATGTATATATATATATGTCGAAGAAATATATCGTTACTACATCGTTATTAGCGGGCTTAGTGGGCATAATGTGGGTAAAGTGCGAGCACAAAAGACATGAATAATTATCGTACAATATTTAATTTAGATTGATTCCTTTTAACATTACAAATAACATACCATAAATTATAACGAGTAGAGGGTTAAAGGCACCAATAATTAACAAAAGGAATCGATCAAATTAAATTATTATTATTATTTAAAGAAATCAACGGACAATTGACTCGAACAGAGCATTTTCTGTTTATCGGAGCATTCCCTGATGTAAACTATTGTTATTAAATATTATTTCGTTTCGGTTGAATGCCAAAGCGAGCCCGAGGGCCTCTTTGATGCGGGATCGTGTTGGCACTACCCAAGGTGGTTTTAGTGGGTATAGCTCATATGGTTCCCTGAGTAGCAGAGTACTCGACGTCCGTCGTTCCCCAACTGAGCGTTTTTAAGGCAGTTTATGCCGCGCACCATGGGGAACCAGCTGCCCACTGGATATTTCCGAACCAATTCGACTTAGGGTCCTTAAAGAAAAGAGCGTACCAATTCTTAAAAGGCCGCCAATACACTCGCGAGCCCTCTGGCATTGCGAGTGTACATGGGCGGTATCGCTTAACATCAGATGAGCCTCTTGCCGGTTTGACCCTGTTCTTTAAAAAAACCTGTAGTGAGTCGAGTCTCACATGCTGCATTTAGCCTGTGGGGCATGCAATTTCCACTTTGGTGTTTAAAAAAAGTTAATTTGTCTATGTTTATATATAACAGTTTGAAATTTGATAATTTTTGGATGTACTTTTGTGTGTATTAGTTTCAAATGGAAATTTTTATTTATCGTATTTTGATTGTACTTTAAATATTGGCAAGACAATCCTGAAAATTTTGTAAGATACAGTTGTACAGTTAGTATCACGGCCGTAAAGAATGACGTTAAATTTCATATTTTTACAGCAACTGGGTCTAATCCACGCGGATCTTAAGCCAGAGAACATAATGCTGGTGGAACCGGCTCGTCAGCCGTATCGCGTTAAAGTGATTGACTTTGGCAGCGCTTCACACGTCAGCAAAGCCGTCTGCAACACGTACTTGCAGAGTCGATACTATAGGTATGGTTAAATTCTTATTCTATAAATAAAACCTAATAAGACCTGTTTTTTATTGCAATTAATTAGGTTAATTAATTTGAAGAATCTCAGACTGAAAACAAAAATGTGCCCATGCGGCAATAAGTAAAACATTTTTTAGTGTTTTTTATTAATATTATATTTTTTTTTAATGTTTATATTCGTTTTTAAATCTTTAATTTATGTTAGTCTAGTTCTGTCCTTGTTTAAATGTTTTATTTGCAAAAAGAAGATAGAAACAAAAAAAAATCAGTAAGACAAAAAAATAAAAGAATTTTCTTTGTGGATGATATATTCTTATTTATATTATGTAATATTTCAGGGCACCAGAAATAATTCTCGGTCTGGCGTTTTGTGAGGCGATCGACATGTGGTCCCTGGGTTGTGTGGTCGCTGAACTGTTCCTCGGTTGGCCACTATACCCTGGCTCTTCGGAGTACGATCAAATACGGTACATCTCACAGACGCAGGGCCTGCCCACTGAGCATATGCTCAATAGGTGAGTGATGAAATCCAGATCTTGATATACTTGACTGAAATTTTAATTTTGATCAAAATAAATGAATCAAATTAAACATCGGAGAAGTTCATCAGAAATCTCAAAGTACATTTTAAAATTAGCACACTTTTTTTATTTATGTAATTGCTTAAACAATAATAATGTTTATTTATTTATTTATTGAAGTTTACCACACCATACATATACATATTTACAGTATAGTTACGAGCTATCTTTTCTAAAATTTATGTCAATTTTGGTAAACATAATGTTACAAAAATTTGTATATGATCGTATGTTTATGGAACATAACAAATTTAAAATTGTATGGAAGGTAAATAACTAAGCCATCTTAAAACAATAATAACTGAATAGCATACTTGCTAATAAGCTGCCGGAGCAATAAGAAATCTTAAAATAACACTAAAAATTAATAAAAACGTAACTTAACCCTAAACTCAAACAAGAAATACAAAATAATTAATAATTGTGATTTTTCAGTGCATCAAAAACGGCAAAGTTCTTCTATCGCGACGTGGACAGCACATACCCGTTCTGGCGGCTCAAGACGCCCGAAGAACATGAGCTTGAGACTGGTATCAAAAGCAAGGAGGCCCGGAAGTACATCTTCAACTGTCTGGATGATATTGGACAGGTAAGAATTAGCTTTTCTCATATAAAACATGTTTTGCATAAGCTAATTACTTTCTTTAAAGCCGCTGTAGCGAGTTTAGGTTTTCTATAGATTCTTTTAAAAAATAAATAACATTGCACAATTTGCGCCCCATTGCTTTTATTAAGCCGAATTTACTCAGATATACTTATGATTTAATAATGCTAAAAATAAAACTTTTTCATTGAGCATATTCATAATAATATAAGGTTCGATGTAGGGAATCTAATAAACACGTCCATCGCGTATGATATATCGTGTATAATTCAATAATAAAGTACTTTCTTTTATAGACTAAAGCGTTACATATATGTTATATGTATTTTATACTGACAACATAATAAAATCATCCAATCTATGGATTCTGAGATAGTAACAAACTAAATAAATTTATAACCATACTTCTGTCGTGAATAAAGTTTTATTATTATAGCTTTTCAATTTCTTCAGGTCAATGTTCCTACGGATCTTGAAGGTGGCCAATTGTTAGCGGAGAAAGCTGACAGGAGGGAATTCATTGATTTACTTAAGAGAATGCTTACTATGGATCAGGTGAGGTTTACCAAATATTCAACTTCATTGATATGAATAGATTTTTTATACCAATTTATAGTTAAATGCGCATATTATGGTGAAAAAATGACTCGTAATTTGGACATTTTTCTTATTGAAAAAATTAAGTTAGAATAATTGTTATGACAGCAACTTATAACAATATTTTTTTAATAGTCATAACATTTTTATAGTAAATAATAATTATTAATAATTATAATAAATCGTTTATTTGGAATAAAATAGTTCTGCACAATCAGCCATTTAAAAATTGGCATTTCAATATTATATTAATTATTATAAAATAATAAGAACAGTTAAGTTATTTATAATTGTTGTCTAAACTTATGGTCTAAATACTCTCACACGCTATAAATGTATCCTTAAAAATGTTTAGACAATTTTTATTATTACTAGTTACTCTCTTAAAATCATTGGCGCTACAACCTCTTTAGGTCTGGGCCTCAGATTTCTGAATCTGTTTCATGATCATTTTTAAATCTAATTGGCAAGTAGGTGATCAGCCTCCTGTGCCTGACAAACGCCGTCAACTTTTTGGAACTAAGACATGTCGGTTTCCTCACGATGTTTTCCTTCACCGTTCGAGTGAATGTTAAATGCGCACATAGAAAGTCCATTGGTGCACAGCCGGATCGAACCTATGACCTCAGGGATGAGAGCCGCACGCTGAAGCCACTAGGCCAACACAGTTGCTCTCTTACGGCTAACAATAACTGTATGTTTCCTCAGGAGCGACGAATAACACCAGGAGAAGCGTTAAATCACGCGTTCGTGACGCTCGCTCATCTTGTCGACTACGCTCACTGCAACAACGTCAAGGCCTCCGTTCAAATGATGGAGGTATGTTTCAAATGTACTTAGGGCATTAAAACATATATTTTACAATTTAATAAAAATTTCAATAATTATTAAGATTATTGAGTTTTACAGTCGTCTGTAGATAATTTGAAACTCAAGTGACTAAAGGTAAATTTCAAATTATAAAGAGCTCAAAATAACAAGCGTTTTAATATCCACAGTTAACGCAAAATTCTTGATTTATTATTTCTTTTTTATTGCTAAAAATGTTATTTAAAGCTGGCGGCTTCAACACATTTATACTTTGTGCTTGTGTAGTGTCTGTGAATAAGCGCGAGGCGTTATGTCAAACTGAAATACTATCACAAATACATCATGAAAAGACTGTCCGTCTCTCTCGCGCTCGGTCAAGCTTATGAGTATAAAAAAGACAGTTATTGTTTTGCTTTTGCTACTGTTTATGTTGATCTTTACTGTACATGTTGATCTTTTTTTCTCATTATTATTTTGTCTGTGATTGTTTACTTATTTGGTTGGAGGTTAGAATACTTTAAAAAAAAATGTCTTATGAAATATATTCCGGCTAAACATTACCAGGACAATCTCGTGAAATGGTGCATAATGTTTTTAATTATTTTAAGCATCTTAATAAAAACAGTTTAATGAAAAAAATGTTATTTTTAATTTGACATCAGATGCGACTGGGGTTTGTAAGAGGAGTATTGAAAGATTTGTTAGTGAAGTAAAAGTGAAGTGTGTTGAGCTAGATGGAGCTTATGTCGAAAAATGTAAATTATTTACACAAACTACTCTCTTACGTTCTCGGTCGGGCTTAGAACTTTTGGATCCACCCTCGTATGCACATAATATTTATATGTATTTGACACATTTTTATTTATTTACAACCCACCCAACCTTACTAAAACCAGAGTAGACTAAAATATATAGTTTGGCAAAAAAGTCATATTTTTAAACATTCTGTATAGTGAAAGTGCATTAGTGTGAGTACTGTGAACGCGCCAGCTTTCGAAAACTGACCTATATTAACAATTAAATCACAAATATTTATTTTAAATCAAATACGTCTGTTACACGCCATGTATGTTTACCGCAAGTTTAATTTAAAACAATTATAAGGAACTTTATTAATATGTATTTTATTAGCCTGATTATCTGAATATGGATTAATTATTGTATGAAGTAATATTGAATTCGGCGAGGAGAAAATAAAGAATTGAACGTGAGTGCGTGTACGGAAGTTTAAAAAATAAACTTTTAAAACTCACCTTATCATTATACGCGACAGGAATTTCTTGAGTTTGGTGTGTATATGTGTCTGAGGACGAAATTGGCGGCCGAGGAGGTGGAGTCGGCGCCTGCACAACAAAATTATGAAATGTTGATGAGAAAATGACCAAATCCGTTACTAAAAGCGAAATATAAATGTAGATGTCAAAATATATATAATCCGTTGACCTATGTTGTAGAAAAAAACGGTGGACAAATGAATATACAAAACACATTAGAAATATGGCAATACAATTAAGGCATATGAAGTACGGATGAATAATAACGGATTTAAAAAAAGTTCGTAATCTTTTTTAAGTGAGCGATTTCAGTCGATCATTGTCCAAAGAATTAAAAAAAGTAATTTACATGTCTGTACATGTATGAAAAATAAACGTTTTACTATGTGTCTTGAGCTTAAGAGTGCGTATATAATATATAAATTAAACTCTCCATCTACATCAAGAAATTGCTGATCAATAATATATTTCAGGTTTGCCGTCGTTCGGGGAGCGGCGTGGGTGGCGTGGGCGGTGTGGGCGGCGTGGGCGTGGGCGTGGGCGGCGAGTATGTGGGCGGCGTTGTGGCCCCAGCACCATCCACGGCCCACCATCTCGCGCTCACCATCAACCAGCAGCGGCTGCGGGCTGCGCCTTATGACAACCTTGTAAGTTAAAAAACATTGTATTAAGAATATATATATATATATATATATATAATTTATTTATTTAATAGACTACTATTACACTGCGAGTGTCGAAATAAATTATTTTTAAAAATAAAATAAATCAATGGCGCTACAACCTTTTTAGGTCTGGGCCTCAGATTTCTGTATCTGTTTCGTGATCATTTTTAAATCTAATATTCAAGTAGGTGATCAGCCTCCAGTGCCTGACACACGCCGTCGACTTTTTGGGTCTTAGACAGTCGGTTATGTCGGTTTCCTCGCGATGTTTTCCTTTACCGTTCGAGCGAATTTTAAATGTGCACATAGAAAGACAGTCCATTTGTGCACAGCCGGGAATCGAACCTATGACCTCAGGGATGAGAGTCGCACGCTGAAGCCACTAGACCAACACTGTTGAAATTTATTTTTACATTTTGTTAAAACTTTTGCAGTACCAGCTATATGGAGCAGGACGTGTGGCCGTGGGCGGAAGGCAGTACACCAGAGCTGAGCCTTTCCCGCATCAGTTCGTCTCCTCTATACTCTGCCAGCCCGCCTATCAGGTAACGTACACTTTACACTTTAAATCTTTTAAAATCTCGTACAAATACTGTTTAACGTAACAGCTACTTGGAAACAGAACTAATCTAAGCGTACTAGTCTGGTCTTCATATGAGTCATTGTGATTTAAGACCAACACAGGTGACTTCCAGGACTCGAAACAGAGCTAATCTAAGCGTACTACCAACCAGGCCAATTGTAATTGTTTTTTTTACAACAAACTCCCAAGGGAAATTAGGGAATTATCACTAAAGAAAAAATAAAAGTCCTCGTTAAACGTAAATTAATCAATAACTTTTTATAAACTTGACGAATATTTAAATGATCCTAATCCTTGGGATTGATTCGCTTCAGTTCAAACAATTTGTATGACTCAAAACTTAGCGATTAATAAGAGTGGCGGAGAGTTTCTTGCCAGTTCTTCTTTCCCGCTACGCACTATTGCGAACAGGTAGTAAATGTGAATTTAGAATCAATTTAACATATTTTCTGTTGACGTTCATAAGTGTACTTTGTATGAATAAAGTTATTTTGAGGTTTAGTTGGTTTGGTTAACATTTTTTAAATTGTTGTATTGTTTTCAGGTACAGCAGCTGGCTGCAGCGGCTGCTGCGGCGGCTGCCGCCCATCACCAACACGGCGTGGCTGGTGTGGGCGGCGTGGGCGGTGTGGGCGGCGTGGGCGACGTCGAGTGGCGTGCGCCCCTCATAGTCGAGCCCGCGCCTTTGCCCGAACCGGACGTCTGGGACCTTCATCACCATCACCATCACCCACACAAGAGGTACATAGACAAACTAAGCATTTATCTTGAGACTTTAATTTAAAAATATATTGTCTACGGATAACATTTAGTCAATTTGAAGTTTATTTTAACTGTCGGGCTCTTTTGGTGTTAATCTAAATATTTTATAATTTAAATATCTCCGAAAAAACCTAGTGAAAGATTATTGAAAGTTTCAAAATTTCAATGAAGCGGACTATATATTTTGAAAAGTATCAAAATCGGAAAGAAGCTGGGCTATAGATCAAAACTCAAAAAATGATGTCTCATAATGACTCAAAGAAGTAGAAGATGCTCCGTGTAAATGGTAATGAGAGTGGTTGTCTCCAGATCAACAAAGCAGCAGTCGAGCGTGGCGCATTACCAGCCCCACCATCAGCCGCATCACTACAGGTGTGGCACCTGATACTAACCAAGCTTTTATTTTTGTTGCCATTAATGCCTTTCCACGCTAGCACACCTTTTCATCACTATATATTCTTTTATTTATTAAAATGCCGTATTTAAATTCTTCTTTTCCATTTTTATAATAAATTAGTTTCCATAATATATTCCACATTCTGAGCATTGTTGGCCTAGTGGCTTCAGCGTGCGACTTCATCCCTGAGGTCGTAGGTCCAATCTCTGGCTGTGCACCAATTGACTTTCTTTCTATGTGCGCATTTAAAATTCGCTCGAAGGGTGAAGGAAAACATCGCGAGCTAACTGGATTGCCTTAGACCCAAAAAGTCGACGGCGTGTGTCAGGCACAGGAGGATGTTTACCTTGCCTATTAAAATACAATTGATCATGAAACAGATATAGAAATCTGAGGGCCAGACCTAAAAAGGTTGTAGCGCCACTGATTTATTTTATTTGACCTTTACCATTGGTGTTTGTTTTCTACTTTACAAATATTAAGTATCTCTTGGCTGCACTTACTCTGAGAATATACTTCAAAAAATCTTCTCATTAAAAGCCAATTCTATCTTTGTGTCATCATTCTTCATGCATCTATCAATTTCTAAAAAGCTGCTTATTTTTAAAAATTATATCAATATTTATTTCTTTTAAATGCCCATTGTATGTTTTTTGTTAATTTCTAATGTGTTAGTTTATGTCTATAGACATAGATAGTTTATCAAATGTTTCCAATACCACGTAATAACGTGCTTTTTTTGATCAAACAAAAGTTAACGCGATTTAAATGCTGATTTCGATAAGACATGTACCAACATAGCAACCATTCCCTCTTCTTGTAATTAATATTAGACTTTAAAAATAAAATTAAAATCGCAAAAACGTGATTGTTTGTTAAGAAAATCATCAAACCAATAATTGAAATGGTTTTCTGGAAGTAGATAAAACTTTGGAATTACTAAATAAATTTAAAAATTAATGATGATAATCATGATACTTGTAGATATTATTTGAATAATAGGAATTTATTTATTTAAAGTTGCTAATAATGAAAGCTTACATATAGTAAACACACATAAACAAAAACTGACTGTAACTAACTGTACCATTTAACAGGCTTTAATTAATATTGCTAATTAATAGAATTCTTCTAATATATGATCTAAAGTAGCGTTTCCCAAAGTTTTTTATGCCATCCTTAATCTTTCTAAAATTATTATGCCCCCAATGTAACATACAAAAATTTAATTGTTCACTTAAGAAACTTAAATGGTTTTAGGAATAACTTACTAGGGAATTGTTAACGAAACACAGTATGTAAATTTTTAAAACTGAATTTCACATCACAAATAATTTTCATAAATTTTCGAATAGGCTTTACAAACAAACTGCCCCCCAGTAAATAACAAGTTATTGCAAAATAACTGCGAAACTTAGTGAGAGAATTAATATGGTAAATAAATTGCAGCATGGCCAGCAGTGGTGGTAAGAAAGAGCCGACTCAACTGTCGCCGGTGAAGAAACGGGTTAAGGAAGGCACGCCGCCATCACGGAGGCAACAACACGATAACACGTAAGTGCCTAGTCCCATTTTTAGAATTAATTTTAAGATGTTTAATTTCAAACGGAAATTGTATTGATGTTAATACGGAATACACATTTAAACACGAAGAAAGAAACTCAAACGCAAACTCAAAAAAGCTGTTTAATTAATTGTAAATTTACATTTACTACCAGTTCGCGAGTCAAGGGCGTAGAGCGGGCTAGAAACTTTCCGCCACTCTTTTCAATCGCTAAGTTTTGAGTCATACAAATTGTTTGAAAGCAAATCAATCCCAAGGATTAGGGATCATTAAAATTTATAAAAAGCTTTATTGATTAATTTACGTTTAACGAGGGCTTTGAATTTATTTAGTGATAATTCTCTAATTTCGCTTAACAGATAGAACAGAGGTGGATATGTTTAATTATTGGATGCCGTATTTTTTTATATGGTTTTTTCAGCTTCTAGTCAAGTTAACTAAGCGGTTCATTTTGCTCACTCAGGCTTTCTTAGTTTTATAAACGTGGCGATTTCCTAAATCGTCGGAGTTCGCCAGAGTATATCCAGACGAAGGCACTCTCTTCAACATTTACATTACATTAAAATTTCGAGACGACTCATTGGTCTAGTGGTTAGTACCCCTGACTGCGAAACCATGGGTCCCGGGTTCGATCCCCGGCTGAGACGAACATCGATGTGATGAGCATTTGGTGTTGTGCTTAGGTCTTGGATGTTTAAATATGTATTTATATGTCTATTTAATTATCTCGCATACGTATATATTCTATTGTTGTACGCGAGTGGTTGATATGGAATAAAAATAAAATTATCTATTATTTAAAGCACCCGATCACTAAGGAACCGTGCATTAACATTGATTTTACGATTATAATAAAAAATATATTTAATTACAAGTGCGGAAAGCCTGTCATTGCAAAGAGTTTCGACAAATGTCTGTTGACAGTCGGAACAAGTTGCAATGACGGTTCCGCACGTGTACTGAACAACTATTTTTAATACAGTTGCGAAAAAATTATGCAATTTAATAAAATAATAAAAAAACAATAAACTCAACTCACTAATCATTTATTTCTTATACAAATTATTGTTCACATATACATTGGTACAGTTTTTTATACTAACTGGAGAAGTTTTAGGTTGCATATTTATTTACTGTTTGAGACAAACTATTATTTATTTCGTATGATTTTTCATGTATATTTAATATATAATATAACAAACAACTAAACGCGCAAAGAACATTTTTGGGAAAATGGCGCCAACCGTAAAAGAATATAAGCAGATTTTTTTTTTCACCCATTCTGTAGGCAAAGGTAACTATGCCCATACAGCCAAGTCTTCAGTACAATTTTTTATTGATATGAAATGAAATCTAACCTAACTCATTGAATCAAATCATTAAATCTTATATTGAAACAAAGCAGTAGCTTCTTTTTAGAAATATTTGCATGAATCATAAAAATTTCTATGAATTTTTTTTAGTAAAAACTTCGTGGTTGGTTTTTTCTTTTTAATAGACATTATTTTGACAGTTGGGAAAGAAAACGCACTAGTTCGGAAAAGGTAAAAAAAGACACGAGTGTGTAATAGCCCACATCCCGAACGCTATACGTCCCTGCAATACGCCACTTTTTGAGCAACTGTATTAAAAAAATATTTAATAGTTTGTTTCTCACTGATAAAGATTTCCGAATTATAATTCTGATGAAGTTTAGCTGTCTACAAAAATACCTGTTAAATGTAAACCTTCGGCTGTTCATAGTCATATTGAAAAAAATGTGTTTGAATACTTTAATAATCTAAACTTACAGTATCCGGCCTGGGGCGTGGGAGCCGAATACTAGCGTGGCAACTGGTGGTGGTGCGCACACCATCACCATCCGAGACACGCCGTCACCAGCCGTGTCCGTTATCACCATCTCCGACTCCGATGACGACGAGCCAAGGCACGACGCACAGCGACCGCACGATAACAGAGGTGCACTTCATTTCTATCTACTTTTAGCAGAAGCCAAATAATCGTGTTTTAATTACTAAATTTAATTTCAGCACTTGTGATTCTTTAGATGCCAATAATATAGCGCCACTGAAATATTATAACGAAAATTTATCCGTAACAGGTAGCGGCGAGTGCGCTGCCGTGGTACAAGCATCGAGTGGGGTGAACGTGCCCACGAGTGGGACGTCCGTCCCCAATGGGGCCGTCCCCACGGGGGGCGTCATCTGCAGCGCAAGGGACGAGCGCCATGTCAAGCACGAGCCACAGCACCATCACCAGCCGTGCCACCACCACCACCATCACCAACAGCAGCCAATACAGGTATTTTTTTGAAATTTTCTTATATATTACCACCACCACCTTAGAGCGTCAATTCAAATTGATATAAGCAATATTTAAAATACATATAATAACTTAAATCCATTCTGCTATATTTTATTTTGATGTAGACATGGAAGTAATTTAAAGTAATATTTGATATCTTTAATTTTCATCCAGCAACAGCAGCAGCAACAACAACAGCAGCAGCAGCAGCAGAACATCAACCACAGCAACAACAGCAGCAACAACAACAACAGCGACAGGCAACAGCAGCGCAAGCGACGCCACAAAGTCAGAAAAAGAGATTACTTGCGCTTGCGCAGCAAGAAGCGCAGGCCAAGCATGAGCCGCATCACGAACAACATTATAATGTAAGTAACGTTTAGTTAATTTCTTGAGTTATCATATCTTTTGTAAAATTTCCGCTTAATTCGTTTAGCCTTTTACCGTGAGAATAAAATAAAACATGCAAATTAGTATTCTTATCAGCGTTTCAACATTTAGTATTATTTTCAGCGTTTCAACATTTAGTATTATTTTCAGGTTTCAACATTTAGTATTATTTTCAGCGTTTCAACATTTAGTATTATTTTCAGCGTTGTAGTCAACGATTTTTAATTTTATAGCACCATGTATGTTTCTACTTTGTTCCAAATACGCCCGGATGTATGTTTCTACTTTGTTCCAAATACGCCCACGGACAGCTTCTTAGGTTTACAATACAAAAAGTATTATTACTCTCCTATTCGTCTGATGATTTCTCTGCTATGCAATGATTTGTGGGTATTTCACAAGAGAGTTTATATCGTAAATTAAATGTTTAAACAATTTATAGACGGGTGGCAACGTGCGTCAAGCGAACGAATACCAATGCAACCAGTACGTGCCTAATCAGCATAATAAGAGAGATAGTGTAAGTTTTATTTATCTTTTATTCATTCGCACAGCTTTTTAGATTTAAGTAAAGCCTTTGACCTTGTATGATACACTTGGGATAAAGAAGTAGGAACACCGACTGGAGTATTGGGTGTCTTAGTCTTGGGTACTAGTACTAGTACGGAAGCCCTGCTTTATTACATGGTACACCTAAATACCGGGTATATATATTGAAGTTTGGTGTTCTCGAAGGTAGACCGACGGCGCCTTTTATTTTGTATGTTGATGATTGGATTGCCGAGTTCCAAGATTGCCGATACTGTGTAATTCTCAATAATTACTTTATAATTGGGTTTTTTAAATTATTGAAAATATGATGGGCATTGCTAACCATAGATGGCGACAATTTTAAACTTGCATTCAATTTTTCATAATAGTTTTTTAGGTTGGGGGGGATGAACTAATTATATTTCCGACCCGCCGGTCCCCAAAAACCAATTTATTAAGAACTAATTTATTACAAAATTACAAATTAACATACTACTCTTAAGCGCGATGCTTATAAGAATTAAATTCTTAAAAGTAAGTACGATAGTGGGGGAAGCGACGCTGGTGGCCTCCTTCGCCAGCAGAAATTGTATATTGTTAGGTGCAGGGCTGGCACATAACTAACTATATATTGTTTATGTTTATCATCTGTTATCTTTTATTGCATGAAATACATGTTAAAATATGCAAACTGAGCCACAGCTTTGAATTATTATGGAGCGTTTAAATGTATATGTTATAATGAAAGATAGCTTCATTGGTATAGGACCATATAATTTAAAATATTGTAAATATATTACAGAACGGTGGTTGTCGCGATTACATCCCCGCTAGTGGAGTGGTTCCAGTCAACGCTGTGAACGCTGTTAACGCAGTGAGTGCGGTTAACGCGGTGAGTGCGGTTAATGCCGTCAACGCGGTTAACGCTGTCAGCGGCGTTAACAGCATGGCCGGGAATATGAACGTCAACGCGCACAAACATGCCTGGCACCACCATCCGCACACGCATTATAAGTAAGTAGCTTTGGTATAAAACATTGATGAAGATAATGTATAATTGTGGAAATATGCATTAAAGCTTTTGTTTAAGTAATTTTTGAAGTGAAACTTCTTTAGGCGCATGAGGGTAAATTTTTTACGGAACGTCACGAAGATGTGCAGCGTTTTTAAAGGAAGAATCAAAATTTCGTAAAGAAAATTTTTTTTAAGAAATATTAATATTTTATGCAAAATAAGTTATTGAAATTTCAAATGAAAATTAAAATGCTACTTGTTTTTATTATCAAAGAAATAAATTTAAAAAATAAATTAATAATTTGTCTTAATTTTCGACACTTTTTTGTGACATTTTAATGACAATTAACTTCAGTGAATTCCTAACATATCTTACATTTTCCTCTAACGCCTTTAGTACACCTACGCGTTCGTATGCGGCTGCGAGTCTTTGCGAAATAATTGCGGTAGCGAAATATCTGCGGAACGTTAGTACACTGCAGTTTTTTCGCAAGGAAATGTCATTGTAGCTTTATTTCTTACCATCTATCCCCGTCTTTTCTTGAATTTTCCTCCATGCCACCTCTTTTTTTGTATGCATTTTTGTAACTAACATGCCCAACTAAATATAATTCGGGATAATTTCGAATCAAATTTAATAATAATTCAATATTTTCGGCTTCCATTGTGCGAAATTCTGCCCTCACTGACAGAACGCGTGGTGACGCATTGCGATGCGAAACTCCGCTAGCGAAACGGCTGCGTCTGTGTAACAGCCATTTCGCAGTTACTTGCGAAACAATACCGACAAGGACGCAACTATTTCATCTAGCTATATAATAGAGCAAGACAAAACATATGCGAAACGTTGCCATACAACTTACAGTTTTTATATTTATTTGTTCCGTCCTATATACGAGACAAAATGTTCCAATTTGATAAGGAGTATTTTTTATGGAATTATAAAACGTGGATTAAAAATATCTGTTAGAGTCTGGCTAATGAAAGAAGATATCGAAAAAGCGCGGCAAATTCAATTTTTTTTAGTATGGTATCCCTAAAAGATTGATATATTTTGTGGATTAAACTTACTTGATTTTATGTTATTATTTTTTACATTGATAGTAACTGTATTTCTATGAAATTAAATACTATACGTATTTAGTCTTTTACTATTGATGTTTAAAATGACCAGCATTGCATGGAAAACTAAAACTATATTTATTATAAAACACAACTTTATTCGGAATAATCAAAATCAGAATCCAAAAAATCTATAAAACAAAGTTTAGGCTATTATACCTGTTAACTATTCAGAAAAAATATATAATAGAAATAAAATGAGTAATTGCATGAAGTTTCAAGACAATAAATCATACTAACCTAAGAAATTCAATGACATTCTGTGTTGCCATCCGAAAGTTTCCAAATAATTCAATTATCTTCTTTCATTAGCCAGACTCTACCATGGTAACCAGCTCATTGAAAATCGAAATTTAAATGAATTTCGATTGTGACTCGTATGGACACTTTGTCTTTTGTGTATCACTTTCATTCGCAATATAAAATGTCTTCTCAATGTCAACATTAATATATTTTATTGTTTCCAGGAGCGGAAGTGGAGGAGTATTGTCTCCACCAGGGGTCGTGTCTCCCGGGTATTTGGCTCCGCCCCTCTATGTGCCCACCTATCACTACCACACGTAAGTTGTTTTTCTTCAATATGAAATTGGCTTAGTGGAGGATTTTTATTTTACCATATATCTTGAGTGTCATATGTCAAACTTTACATAAACAAAAGATTGACAATTGTCGAAACTAGTTTTTTTTTAAATTATTACACAAGTGCTTTAGCCAGATTAGTTTAGACTTAAAACAAACTAGAATTGGATTAGATTATTGCTTTTTATCACAAATATCAACATGTGTCAGGCACTTATGGCTCGATAAAAATAATAATAACTTAATTCGTCAGACAATATGGTCCATTGGTTTATATATAGAATTAGCTCAAAAAAAAAAAAAAAGTTGTATGATATAAATAAAAAAAAATATATTTTCAGTGGCGGTGTGAGTGGAGTTAGCGGCGTACCAGGGCCACCTCCGGCTCACCACGCAAGTGGTGCTCGAATTCCGGGATACCTGCAGCCCTATTCGCCCACATATCTCGTCCATCAACATCCGCACCAGCACCTCTGGTATACAGATTGAGTTGTCCACGATTGGGAATGATCACGATCGGATATGACCGCGAACGGGAATGACCGTGATCGGGAATGACCGTGATCGGGAATGACCGCGAACGGGAATGACCGTGACTGAAGATGATCGTTGGTGGTTAGGACGCGAGTGTATTAAGCGTCCTATAATGTTATATAAACGTGAATATAAGTGTTTTGTATAGGTTTTAGTGAATGTGATCGTTAATTAATCAATTGGTCGTCGGCCGCGATCATGTTTTGTTGTGGTGATTTATTTACTTGATGTAATGGTGAGAATGATCAATGCAATACGAAGTACGATTGTACGTAGACGATTTTAGTGAATATGTTTTACTATGTTTGATGGATTAGGTTTTTACGAGTAGACATAATTGCGCACATTCGTGGCCTTTACCGTGGCTATGGTTGGATAGGTCTTCGGTAAGCGCCCACGAGCGGTTCAAAGGGAAAAAATATCTATCACACTGTAATATTTTAAATCCAAAATCTTATGACTAGTGTGTACGCGTTTTCTATTGACGGCTGAGGCGCGATTTTTTTCCGATTTTGCGATTTGATCGCAATCGCTTTTTTGCGACCGCTGATTAGGTCAGTGTCGAGAGTTTCCTTTTATTTAAGAGTAGGTTGCATTTACTAATGTTTTATCTAGGTGTTAGTACCGAGGTGTTATTAACATGATCTATTTACGATTTTTTTGTTTGAGATTTTTAATTTTCATATCAATTAGGGTAGTTTCATAATGCTGTGTTTAATTCTGTAGATATTTGTAGGACGCGGTGATGGCATATGTATAGGTTTCTAAGAATTTTATCAATTAGACATAGATATGTATATTTAGGTAGTGAATTTGATTTTTTTGTTTATACGGTGGTGTCGGTGTGGATTTTTTTATCAATATGGCAACACTGAATTTAATTTTCTATCTTGCAACACTCTTGAAATCAATTTTATGTTTATCATGCAACACTGAATTTAATACTTTATCTTGCAACACTGGATTCTTTGTCGATCAGGCAACAATGTTGAAATCAACTTTACGTCTATCTGGCAACACATGTTTGAGATCATGTTTATTATATTTTAAAATTATTAATAAAATAAAATTATTTTATAATTTCTCTCTTAAAATCAACGTGCACCGATATCACCAATATGGCGCTTTTAATAATTTGCTAATTTCTAACGCGTCAAGCGACTGGGTGATGATTTGTTTAAGACGGGCCCATTTTATTTTATGTGTCTTTAACTCGCTTCATCACGTGACCCTTATGTGTCAGCTGTCAAAGTGACATTTTCAGAGGACGCTAATTAATGAAGATTATTTTAATTTCCGGCTTTCGAAGACGTAATGTAGTTGTCTAATATAATATTATTAGTAACTTTTAGCATCTTACTAACAAAAACGATACTAGTTTGCGAGTGGGTTTTTTTTTTGGGATTACTACAGTACAAAATTATTTATTTTACAATACACAAATTTGATTTCAAATGACGCGCTAACGAAGAAAGATGTTAGCGATTTCATCTTCTTTTAACTTAGGAAGTTATTTGTTAAAATTAAAAAATTAAAAATTAAAATTCGTAAAAATGTTTAACTATTTAAATCATGACGTAACATTTTTCATTTGACAATTAGCACCGTGAATGCTTGACAGCTGTCACGTGACGTCACGTGTGGCGACCATTTTAGTTTAAGTATTCAGCCTGGCGACCGCCATTTTATCCTACGTTTGTCAATTTTATTTAATGTATATTCCATTATGGATTTATTTTGCTGTCTGACAATAATTTTATATGAAGCATTGTAGGGCTGACTCTTTCTAAAAATCCCTATTTTCATACACCAGCGAGTGTAATGGCTTTAGATTTAATTCAACCCTACAATGTTATCCATTTATCATAATAACCTATTATTTTTCCTAAACTTAGTTTTGCACGAATTATTATACGGTATTGGTTAGCAATATATTTTAGTCATTGATCTCCCATTATCCTTACGGTCTTAAACGGTTAACTAAACACCGTTTATGAGTGACACCGTTATACGTTGGTGGTTGTTCTTTGTTTATGATATACAAAGGCCAATTTATTTTGTCTGTCTGTCTCAATGGTATAACGTTATATTTGATATATATGACCTCATTCGAATTTGGTTTTTGGTATGTCACAAATTGATAGTTTTATCATTTGACAGCTGTTTTAATCGAATAAGGTTGGAACGGTAGGCACCGCAGTTATGCCGCATGTTTAAAGCATGCCTGATTACGTCATAGATTTCGTAATATTTATGAATTGAAAAACATCTAGAACGATTTTTGAAGGGCCTTCCAATCTTATTCTAACTAAAAATTACGACTCGTATTTTGATTGGTATTTTGAATATAGAATCCGTATAATTTAGCGTTTGGTTTACTCGATAAGCAAAAGGAATGTTATTTTTAGTGAGCTAAGTTTGTATATGGGGCACGCGATTATGTAAATGACCGATTTCTGTGATTTAGTGAATGAAAATGTACATTTTGTTTGGGTTGTTGCAATAAAATTCATTTTCGTATAAAATTTGTTCAGGACCGGCCCCGGTTTCACCGTTAATTAAATGTACAAATGCAATTTCGAAGAACTCCGGTCAATCTGTATGTCCGTCTTATTACTAGTACTTAGTCTATGACAAATTATAGTCTATGACAGAGTGCAATAGTTAATAAGACTGATTTAGTTGAACGATTGACCGGAGAATGAGTGAACATGTCCGCTGTCGCTCCAAGGTTAACTGTCGGTGAAACTATTATTTTTAAGTTAACATTACGTACCGATGGTACTAAAAGCTAAACATATTGGGTATTTTGTTTCTAATGTTAGTTTTTAAGTGCTTGTAGCACGATTTATGAACCATTAACATTAATTTGTGGGTGATCAGGGGATAGCACTGATGTGGCTTAAGATTTTTTTTCTTCTTTAATAATCGCATAGTTATTATGAGAATTGTAAATAAACATCCAAATATCCCTTTTTATTTTACTTTTATTTTTACCCTTTCCTTTTTTGGGCCCGTCGACCTACGACGTACTGAGCTGTGGTTCGCGAAGTAGATCGGGCCACAGTCGGATCACATTATTTCGATAAATAGAAGATATGCTTGGTTTGTGACCGAACGAGTCCCGCCGCGTGGCATCTATAGTCAATAGTAAGGCGATATCGTCAGAGCTGCTGTCTCGACAATAACCCAGTGTCAGACAATAATCATTATTATTTATTTGCAAAGTTTCGTAGTGATCAGTTCGCCCCTTATAAAACTAGATAATTAGGATAACGCCGTTTTATCTAGGCAAACACTTTGTGTCAACAATTTATGAATGTCGTGATGCGCACCGTATTTTGAATTGTTTTAAGTAAGATAAAAATTACAAAAAGTTTACAGTAATCGCACGATCGTTATTCGTAATATATAGAATATTACATTTTAAGACTTAAATTTGTATAAAGCACTAAAGGTATAAAATACGATTCGTCACTATTTAGTAACTTTGACTGAATGTTTACATGTGCTAAAGCTTGTAGGTTATAGAAAGTTGTGTAATGACACTTTATTTTAAATAAATCTTGACGCCTGCGGGATTCATGCGGCAGTTTTACTATTCTTAACATTAACACAAGTCTGATTTCACATGATCTAATTGTAATTAAATTCCGCTAGAGGTTTTATGTAGGTATTGGCTGTTTGGAGGGCTATTTTGTGGTTTTCAAGTAAAATGAATTGATAGATGTTGGGTAGCGTAACTAGAGAGTAATTTAGTGTCTCGATGTGGCTCATGCTTAGTTTGCCGTTAAAAATGTTAACATTTTATAATATTCAATGTTTGATGTACCTAATAGGTATGTGTGATAATAATATAGGCTTTCTACTAGTTAAAGTACAATTAATTCTAATTCTTATAGGTCAATATTTATGAGCATTATTTTTACACTGTCTTTTAAATAAAATGTGATTTGTCGTTAGTTGTATGTGTAGATTACTCGGCGGTCCACGGTCAACGCTGTTAGCTGTTAATTATAATGCTTTAACAATACTATTTAAATTACATTCAAATATTAATAAAACCTGAAAGTTTCCTCTCAGTTACATCTTTTTATATATTTAGAACACTAGTAAATTGTCTACAGACTTCTCTCACCAAAATATTTTGCCGTCCAATTTTCGTACCTTACTGCGCGTGCGATGATCAGCGGACTGCTTCTATTTACTATCTTAGGTATCTTTTTAACAAGTCTCGACAGCAAACTGATTTTGATCTTAACTATGTCGTTTTAAGATATTTTATATTTATATAGAGCTTATAGGTGGACTAGAGCTATAGGTTTTCGGAAGACTGCGATCTGAATGTTGTTTGCGAATCCAAGATTCAAATCGCAGTTGACAATTATATCAGGGACTTAGAGCACTAGAGACGGCTTTTTGATTTAGATCAACAATTATATATAAGCCATGTTAGTAGAGACAGCATAGTTTTAAATGTGATAGACGTTTATATTCTATAGATACAGCGACATCGAGAAATTTATTATACCAATATTTTTAAGCATTTTAACGTTAGATATTTGTCATTTTTTTAATCTTTGTACTTCTTATAAAATTATCTTTCATTACTTTGATAATCGTAAAATAATTGACCACTTAGTATTTCTCGTTGTCGTCTTGCACCAATTTGGTCTTAGATCGCCGTTTTAGATATATGACTGTTTCTTTCTAGTGATTTTAATGTCCAAAATAATTCGTATTTGCTGTTTTCTACGTGTATCCGTAAGTAAGTGTATCCGATTAGCGTCCAGTGAGATTTTGTATTTCGATGTCTAATTATTAGGTTCATACTATCTATGAATACCTGTACTAACTACACGTCTTGTACTAGTTTAGATTCTGTAAACGTAGGATTACGACCAACATACATAGAATATAAATATATTTAAACACGAGTTCGACTAACTATAACCGCTAACATACACTGCTCGAGACAAGGGGATCAAAGTACAAATTTATCAAAATTGCCCCGCGAAGTCTTCGATGCTTTGCTCTTTTCTTATATACTTAGCGTCATATAAGAAAATGAAGTTATATTCGCAATGTTTATTAACATTTTTAAAGTTTAATGTTGCATTAGAGAATTCATTCGATCATTTTAAGTATCTTCGATGTTTAGATTTCTTAAAGTTTTTACTAACCCCACATTTAAAATCACATGGTTTGTATGTGTGTAGTTTAGAAACCAGACGATGTCGGTACACCTTTTCGAATTAAATCATAATTTTATAACAATCGATGTGCCTAAGTGTAATGATCTACTGTATTGTAAATAGGGGTAATCTAATTAATGTTGTTGTATTTATTGCGTACGGCGTATAATGCCTGCAGGTTCTGAAAGGTATTTCGAGACAATAACTTATTATTTGCATTTCATTCGTTTGCTTTTACTTCCGGTTCCTTTAAGACGCTACTTGCCGAAATGATAAACTTAGTGATGTTATAATATTTCACCAAAATATAGTTAATGATTTAGAATATTTAGTTCGTACACGATTTCAACACGTAGAATCCATTTTATACTGAGTACCTACATAGATTAAAAGTTCTACTTTACAGCACGCTATTTTTGCAACTACAGGAACTTTAATTTCTAAAGTGTATATCTTAAAATTTGTATATTGTACGGTAGACGCCTGAATGTACTGAATCGTAAATGTATCATCATCTATATCGCGGTGAATGGCGGGTAATCGGGTAGTTGTGTAGACTTGATTGTGATATCAATAAACATTTTCATACGAGCATCCAATTATTTGTTTTATTTTTACCCTTCACATACTATACACAGATGTTTACATTATCTATTCGTAGTTATGTAACTGCATGCATACATTACTCTTTTGAGACTTTATTAGAAAAGTTTAGCGACAGAACCCACCATCTAAATGTGCCGCTATGTAGTTTTGTGAGAGGAATTATTTTTTATGTTATAGGAGGCAAACGGGCAGGAGGTTCATCTGATGTTAAGTGATAGCGCCGCCCATGGACACTCACATTGCCAGAACGCAAGTGCGTTGCCGGTCTTTCAATTGGTACGCTCTTTTCTTGAAGGACCTCAAGCCGAATTGGGTCGGAATTACTTCAGTGAGCAGCTGATACGGGTAATATATTTTTTTGTCTAGCACGGTATTACTGAAGCGAGATAGACTGTATGCTCGCGTTAGTGTTGGTCGACAAACGGTAGAAGGGAGTTCTCACTGCTAAGTATGATAATATAGTTGAGTGTACACGTCATCCTAATCAATTAAGACTATTCTTTTAATGTCTCCATCTAGCGGCAGATCGAGGTACTAGATTTTTTTCCAACTGAGTTATTTTACATAGGATTAAAATTTATTTTTCTTCTTAGGATCACACAAAGAACACTGGAGGTAAAAGGTTATAAAGAAAACAACAAATACCGTACGAAGTAAGCTTTTTTTTAAAACTAATTTTAGGTTTTATACATTAGACTTAAGATAAATAAACATCTCGTATATTTGCCGAATACATGTATTGCAATTACTATTAATTATTCGGCAATGCCTCTGGGGCTATTATGTAGTCGCCGACTGGATAATAAATACACAATGTGCAAAAATTTACAGTGAATTTAGTGAATTGCGCATGGGCTTTAGAGTTCACACTTTACAGCTTTTGTTGGTTAGTACAGCTACTGTAGTCATGATAAGTATATATCAAAAATGTATTGTCTTTTATCTATAGGATAATAAGTTTTCATGTAAAATTTTACAGGTAAACACAGGGACCCTAGACAAATAAAACTGTATGGGATTCACATTAATCTTGGTCACGTGATCACTCCCATACAGCGGCGAAAGCGGGTCACGCATGTCGCAATGTATCTTTGTCTAGGGGCCCTGATGTGTTAAAGTGTGAACCAAAGTCTATGCGCGACATACCATGAGTGAAATTAAATTAGGTGTATACTTTACATACACTAATTTGAGTCCAGCACTCATGGTAATCGAAACTATTTACAAGTGTACCAGTACGGCGATGTTCAGCTAACATATATATGTATTAAATGTTTCACAAGGCAAATTACTTAACATATGAAATTTGCACGGAGTACAAATTGTGAGATCATATTTAATATAATGTATTAAATTTAGCAGTACACAAAAAAATTTTGTCTGAAGTCTCAAATTGTAGGCGACAAGTTCAGACTGTAACATAATTCATAAATTTCAATTACGTCAAATTAAACACCATAAAATTATAAGGTCTTAACAATTTTATATTGTGAATAGTCAAACAAATTCATTTACATCGCATTTGTCAACTGCATTCCACACTTTGGCTGATATTCATGCTAGTTCTGATGTACACCTTGTTTTTAGCAATCTGGGCCAGATATTTGAGAGATTAAGCAATCATAAGCGCCCCAATTTCATATGATAATCAATTCATAATTTAATAAAATGCACTTTTATAAATGAAGTGTCCGCTTGATTGGTCAAATCTAGACAATGTAAATCGTTTAATTGCAACTGCACTTTTATTCATAGATGCTCATAAAACCTATTTTGCTACAGGCGTAACCTGATAAATCAGTATACAATTGTATGGTATTTGTCACGCTTTGTCACGTGACCAATTCCATACAATTGAAACTGGCGTTACCGGGTTACGTCTGTCACTTGCCTATGGCCAAGTGTACGTTGGAAACTGAATTTGACATGTTAAAACCAAATTGACCAAGATTTTAATGTAAAAATCAGAAATTTAAAAAATAATACGCTGTATACACATAATTTATTGTATAATTTATATTTATTCTTAATTTTTGTTAAATAATAATTCCTCTTGTGTACATCAGAATTAGCAACATTGTTACTGATGAAAATGGCAACATTAAAAAATATTAATAAAAACCGTAAAATTCAGTTCTTATATTTACTGACATGCCTCTCCACCAGTAAATAAACCACGATGCCACAAATACATGAATAAAAGCAAATGTCTTTTAAAGCATTCCGCGCCCCGCCCTTTACCTAAACAATGAAGAAATTTGTACTTTACCCAGGGCGGGGCGTCTACCGAAACAATTTTAAATTTTGCTCACATATTAGACAATATTAAAAAATATAAACCATTATTAATATAACAACAAAACAATTAAACACAAATACTCAATCTATTACAAACTAAATTAAAAATTAAATTGGCAACATTTGTTATAAAGAATAACAAAGTCTATTGAGTATTTGTATTTCTCTTACACTAAACGTTCTATTGCTTACAATCGATATTTTCTTAATTTCCTCGTGTCGTCGAAGAAATTAAAAAAATAAAACATTAGTGAAACTGCCGCGCGAGAGTTAAAATTTAATTTCCACTCGAACGCGGCAAAAACACCAAGGCGGATTAGCTTAACATGATATTCCTTATTTAACTAAACCTACGTCAAGAGATCATATCAAACTTAAAATTAATTGTCAAATTATAAATATCGCTCAGTGGTCCACGTTTACCAATAGAGCCTTCCGACTGTGATGTATATATTAGTCTGAAATCTTACAATTACTTAACATTAATAATTGTTTAACACTTCTAAATCGAAAATAAATTAAGAAATATAATTTGCACAATTAAACGCCCGCGTTCCAATTGAACCAACGGTACACGATCGAAGTGTCAGCCGCCGTGATACCCGGCAGAAGCTCCTTCTCGGCACTGCACTATTAAATTCTATTTGGACCTAGGCAATACAAGTGAAATGACACCTTGTTCAATTAGCGGGGAGGGCGTGTGCCCTAACTGCGTTTGAAGTGCGTCTGCACGAGCCGTGCCACTTTGGGCGGGCGGATGTGAACACCGCGCAACTCTTGCTTGTGTTTGTGCGCCGGTGATTTCGCACCGTTGCTGGATGGCCGCTTGTGGACTCTCAAGAAATCTGGAAAGAGGGAAAGACAATATTAAACTATGAATAAAATTGAGATTTAATAATGACTCTAGCTAGTAGACTCTAGAATCACACGTTTAGTTAGCATAATGGAATTTTATTCCACCTACCACATAATTTTCGAAATAATTTAGTTTATAAACAATGCTTGGTTTCTCTGTAATATGTGTTTGGCATTTTGCCAGATTCCCAAACACTGAACTTCCATGATAACTAATATTTTAAGCACATTTAACTGAGTGGCATGGCATACATTTATAAATATCGACTATTATAAAAAAAATATTTAAAATTATTCTAATTCCACACAAACGAAATTATGTAACGAAAGGTCGTAAAATCAGAAGGTAGAGCAGTACCCATTTTTGGAGTAAAGTTTTACGACTTTTGTTTCTTTGAGCATTGGGACCCTTGCAGTTGACATTTACGACTACTCGTATAGAACTATAAAAAGTAATACTGGAATTTTAAAATCCCGGCAACGCCCTTCAAGTCGTTCCTAATTTAAAGAAAGCCTTTGAGGCTATTAAAGTTTTACTGCCGTTTTACGTTTAATAAATTAGCTATTGTCATACTAATATATAGAAATTAATATTAACCTAATTCAGATGCACAAATTTGGGACCAAAATCATACTACTGATGCAATAAAATGCTATGTTTTATATGTTATAAAAACAAATGAAGGAGCCGGTTTCAAAATCGGATCTTGTAATAATCACAGCTCATAAAAAGTGCTTAGCAACATGCGATGCGCAAGAGAGCAGGCACCCACCTCGTACAAGGCCACGACTTGATTTGATAGAAGTCATATGACCAACATAATAAGGAATATAGTAAAAGGCACTCTAAAGTTATAGGAACGCTTAGTAACTTTTATAGTTATTTAATTCTTGTGAAAAAAGTGTTAATACAAAAACAATATCACATAATTTCGAGTCGCCTGTCTTATAGAACTGTATATAATTATTTTACACGCTTTTTGAAGAGAATTAACTCCATCTGACAAGATTTTTTTTCTGAGGGTATTTGCAATCAACCCTAAGGCTATGGGCGAATCTGTTCTGTGGTGCTGTCAAGTGGAGTGGCTTCCCATTGGAAGCATCTACTCATCATCTGCCTAGAGCTACTGCCGGTCTTCTAGCTCTAGAATATTTTGTTGAGTTCTCACATATGACAAGAGTTTTAAAGAAACTTTCCAAGTTAAATTATATGAGAGTGTGTTAAATCAATATTATTTACGAAAAAATGTTGTAATTTTTGTTAAATTGAATATTAATTTAGCCCATTTGATCATTAATTTTGTCAATATTCACACAGTTATAACAATAACAACTTAGCCGCAAGTATAATACACGTTTTATTAAAATATTTTCGACAATTTCACGATTGTGACCTTGCAAGATAAGGCATTAGAAGTATTGACGGTTAACTATTATCGTATAAAATTCAAAGAGATTCGTCAGAAACTATGTCAGTGACGCAATCCAAGGCCAACAAGTTGACCACGCGGATGATTCCCGCCAAATTTACCACGTGTGTGGAATATTACAATGGCACGTGACCTAACCTCAAAATGACAAAGCGCTAGAGTTATTCACTAAAACAACAATATAGGAAATTCATAAAACTTAAACAAACGAGAAGAAAACATTTTCACAACGTTACATAACTATTTCCCGCCAAACGTTCAATGGAGCGTTTCGCGGCATTTTCGCTGTACTTATAATACCGTAGATTTAAGAAGTGCCCAAGAATTCTAGAGTATACGTATTGGGGAAATCTTTCGTAGTTGGCCGGGTTATAGCTTATATTTGGCTCGCGTAAACTGTAATGGCCTTGAGTGCGCACACAAGCCACTATCAATTCACACAAATATGACGATATCTAATAATATTCAAAACTAAGCGTATTTTCAACTCATCTGAATAACATTGAACGCCACAACTGGGTCTTCGCTCATTACTTACGAATTGGGATGGTAATTACTAATTAGGCTGAGTAAAAGTTTTCTCATGAGTGCAGTGAAAGGTAATTTTTTTATAACTTGATATTTGATTTATTTGCCCCAGAGTTCATTAAACGACCGGCTGCCCGAATTTATCCGATTGCCGACGTGGTTATTTTCGTCGACCTAAATATCTGCGCGGACGCATCGCGTTTGTGACTCGTCCAAGAGGTTTTACAACTGTCATTATAAAGGGTAAATTTTGACATTATGGTACCTATAAGCTAAATGAGCCATAATTGCTTTGTCACGACTGCCATTGTTCGTAACAAGTTGGCAAGCGAGATTGAGAAATGAACCGAATGCAGCGCACGCGCATAAATGACCGCGTCTGATGAACACGCATCCGTCGACCCGAGTGGAATCACTGATGGCTTTGGGATAAAAAATATGAAAGGATAGGATAAATCGTCTAGGAACGTGAAGGATTCATCCTGATGAGCGTCAAATTAACTTTTTCTAACGTCACGCTTCCTTCGAGAGTCGATGATGTCGAAGTGTTTCGTTTGTCGTTTTGTTTTGTCCTTTGTAATTGCCGCAGGATACAGCGTAACATGAATAGGTAATATGCGTACATGTCTCAGGAACGTTAATGCCTTCGAAAATTCATTTCTTTGCGACTGATGCACTTCAATTATCTGAAGCTTTGTTGCCAACAAAAGGTGCAGAAAGATGAACGCTCAACAAATGCCATTCTCTGAATCGCGTATACAAAAGCAGGAAATTGCGGCGAATTCCCAAAAGTATGAAAACGCGTGAGTGCTTGCGGATTTCAAAGACCACAGTAATTTAACAACGACAAACATTGCCCACGCGCTGCCGTGTTTATATTATCGCTTTATAAACGCGGACAATTTTACAAATATATCTAACACGGCGGAAAACTGGTTCGATGACGTAAAGAAACAAGTCTAAACTTGCCCGCGTCCTGTGCACACCCGCTACACGTAATGTTCTTGGAAGCACACGTGTGGGGGGTAAGGGGGATTGAAAAGAAACGAGCGCGGATTTGTCAGGCGTAGGCGGTGACTGCAATCAAACAGGTTGCCTCATGCCCTAGCTGTGTTTATCCTGATTATAGGGCTACTACATTTGCCAGTAACAGACCATTTTGTATCTCGTTTAATCACCTTGGCAGGAAACGGAATTGCGTTTACTAGATAGGGTATGCAAGTATTGAGATTACGAACCAGTTCCCAAATATCTAGGTCAAGTGAAAGGCGTGTCGACATCACAGTTACGGATATGCAGCGTCCACAATATGACTGTATCGGCAAGGGCAAGATGCAATAGATACCTAACATAACAAACTATTTTTTGTTCAAAAAGAGTACACCATTATTATACATTATATTATACAGTAGTTCATAGGTGAAAAAAAAATTGAAGAAAAAACTATAAAAACATATTTTTCTTGGGAGTGCATTTTTTTTTCTACATGAGGACGTTCGTCTAATAATGTAGCCACATCCGAACAACTTTCATTTTGCATATTAAATTTGACTGTTAATACGGCAGATAGGTAATGTATTTACAGAAATTTGCACTGCTCCAATAATCATTCCCTAGTGAAAATACCCTTTCAACAGCAGCATTAGTGCCTGGACAACTAAAATAATTTAAAAAATGTTTTAGAAATACAAATTAGTACTTTCAAAGTACAGGCAAGGCTTTGAAAAGAGTACGGTTTGCGAAAAACGAGTACAAACTCAGTAAATGAGTATAGTTGGTCACCTTACCTAACAGCCCTGCGATTCTGTAACTCACTTTTCGAACTCACACAGCGGTTTTCGCATCGGCGGTCGCTCTCAAATCAGTCGTGAAGCAGTCATTTTATGATTTGGCATTCTAATAAACAATAAACTACAAGCTCCCACCTTTTCAGAATGCCAAATCATAAAATGACTGCTTCACGACTGATTTGAGAGCGACCGCCGATGCGAAAACCGCTGTGTGAGTTCGAAAAGTGAGTTATAGAATCGCAGGGCAGAACTTTTGTTTCTATTTATTATTAAATATTCGTATATTAAAGATAAAAATCAGCAATTGCAAATTCCAAAAGCAAGTTAAGTAAAGGATTAGAAGTTACTCAACCCTGAAGCACATCGTTCTATCGATACACGATAAAAAGTGTAACAAAAACCAATCTTGCTTGTATATTATAGCTGTTTGGGTATCGTGCTACTGGTTTTAAGACAATCCTAAACAAATAAGTGACAGGCAGGTAGAGTGCATTGTATTCCGATTTCCGATTTTAACGTTTGTTCATATTGTCTGATATGTTATTTAAAATGCGGTCAACCTTAGTTCATGGTTTATGATTTGATTGACGTGGATTTTGTCGTATACTGTTACCTGGAAAGGAAGCAACCTCTCTGAACATTATATCATTCTTTGAGTTTTAAAACAGTTTCTTGGCTTTTAATGGACATGAATATATGCCTTTGCACTGCCTTTTTAGGTCTAGGCCTCAGATTTTTGTATCTGTTTCATGATCATTTGTTAATCCAATAGGCAAGTCGAGATCAGCCGCCTGTGCTCGACGTACGCCGTCGACTTTTTGGGTCTAGGCAAGCCGGTTTCCTTACGAACCTTCACCGTTTGAGCGAATGTTGAAGAAAGTCCATTGGTGCAAAACCGGGGATCGAATCTACGACCTCAGGGATAAGAGTCGCTAAAGCCACTAGGCCAACACTGCACTGACTCTTTGTATTGAATCTTTACAGCGTCAGAAACGTTTAAAACATTACATATTCAGTTAGAGACGGCCATTTGATTTATGATCCCATTTACCCATGACATTGTTGTATAAACATCTTTGTACTCTCATTTTCCACTTGTTACTTTCTCTGTAAAATGGTAATGTACCATAACGGACGTGAATGGCTTTCCGGATTTGGGTTGTGATTTCTTATTTGGTTCTACTTAGACTAGATCGTGAACTTCGAATCACCTACATATCGTCTAGAAGAAACCAAATATGTCCAGAGAACCAAACGTTACAGGAAACAGATAAAAAAGTGTCAATGTTCGTTAAAATATTATTATGTGCTTTTGTCCATAGTTTTAGATGTTAAAAAGATTTATTAATAACATAAATAAGTCCTTACTTCATTAAATTTTACCAGTTAAACGACATAAGAGTCGAATAAAAAAATAAATGCTTTTTTGACATACGAGGTTATCATTCTACAGTGATACATTTGTGTCAAAACGTAATACAACATTTTTAAAACAGACCAAAGACAACCTCAAATTACAGCCTTGAAACACACATTTCTGAAGGCACCTATAAATATATGATAACCAAGTGACACTTCTTTATTTCTAAAAAGGAACACAATAGGAACAGATTTTATTGGAAAAATGTAATTGTCGTTTTTAGTATTTCTCTACTTATTATTTATGTTTCCCACTGTTTAAACCTTCTCTGGACTTCCACAAATAATTCAAGACCAAATTAGCCAAATCGGTCTACGAACAGCAATTAACATTTTTATATATATAGATAGATAGATTAAAAAACAGGATGTTTCGTTTATGAACATCTTATAGATACACTTTTTGATTGAGCATGTAGGTGTGAAGTTACTATGTTTGCTGTTTCGTTAGTATCTGTTACTGATTCTCACGGGTAGTATTGTAAGTAGATCAAACAACTGTAACCCTGCTACTGCAATCGGCTATTGCATTCTCGAGCTGACCGATATATGATTGCTAACAACGTCATATTATGAAGTAATGTCAAGAGTATGAGTAATCAAGTACCTACTTAATGGACAATATTACATTTTAATGCTAATTAGCTATATATAAATACCATTTTTTTAAAGGAAATGGCAAAAAGGTTAGTCAACATCATAGGTGACCGAAGAGCAACTGTCTCGGACAAAGATTTAGTCTAGCTGAACAGCTAGACTAGTGGGAACGCTGCTAGTATCTTCGGAACCTTGCCTAAAGGGACCCCTTTAAATAATATATTTTAAGGTAAGTTATTGTTTTTTGTTATTAATTAATTAGTATATTATTTAAATATTCATAATGACTAACATAATAATTATATATATGTGCAGTGGTGGCCTAGTGGGTTCAGTGTGCGACTCTCATCTCTGAGGTTGTAGATTCGATCCCCGGATGTGTAATGGACTTTGTGCACATTTAACATTCGCTTGAACGCTGAGGGAAAACATCGTGAGGTAACCGGCTTGCTTTAGACCCAAAAAGTCGACGGCGTGTGTCAGGAATCTGATCACCTACTTGCCTATTAAACAAATGATCATGAATCAGAAATCCGAGGCACAGACCTAAAAAGGTTGTAACTTTTTTTGCAATTTACATAGAAAATACTAGAAGAAACAGAAATAGCTTGGTTGCGTGGCTGCCGTGTGAAAGTAACAGATGCATTGTAGCGCGACGGATTCTTTGTCACGTTTGCGCAAGTAAAAGTCCAAGGTAAAAGTTGGTAGAGTAAACAATAACTGTTACACAAAATGACTTAATTAAAACATTGAATATTTTGTCATGTACCAAGGAAGTTATCTTGTAGTGCATAACTAAACAGTTTTATACTTCATTTACGGCTTAGTAAACCCATGTGCGTGAACAGGCTACCAAGCGTCACGATGAAAAAAATACCTATTATTGCAATAAAATCTATAGTTAGTGTAAGAGCGTGTGAAATAAAACTTTTCTATACTAGAAAATAAAATGCTCGCTTTAAAATTTTAATTGTTCGATAAGGAAGTATCTTATTTTTTGCTTTCAGCTTTCAATAAATCTACACTTCTTTTTCTAGACCACATCTAGTTTTACTAAGTTCAACGAACTACAAGCTAGGACTAGAAGCAGGTGTCATTTATCTCCGCCATGTGACGACCGAGTTTTTCCAATTAAAAAAACTTTGCTTGTAGCGAGGTTAAAACAATTTTATTGACACATTTTTCGCTTTCGATTGGGTAACTAATGGCTAACGTTATTACCATTATTTGAGTTAATATAATTTCTAAATT